CACCATAAGTATATCAAAGATTCTTGTACATAGACATGATGTGTCACCAAACTTATATTTATCTGATAATAAATTTCATCTTAGGAATAGTGAAAAAGTTAGTGGTGAGGTAGGTCTTCACCGTAAATATTTTCGAATAAAGTGCGTTGCATTTTCTAATCAATTTTGCGGTGTTTAATCGGCCTGAGTTTACTATGCAATTAAATATTGCTTACCATCACAAGATTTTAAAAAACTAGTGTTGATTTGAAGGAGATGTGGACTATTTCAAAAAGATAAGCTGTTGAATAGAAAGGACCAAAACGCCTTATTGGACAACGATATATATTTTCATTTGCAGTATCATGTTGTGGTGAAACTTTATAGCCAATCATTGTATCACGTTTATAGATTATACCTTACCACTCTGCACTACATTGCATTAAACTCAGCCATTGTACATAATTGCTAATCGTATGTCATCTCTACCTGTTGTTATCATTGAAAAATGGTGTTTTGCCTAGTTCAAACCTTCAAGCTAACAAAAAATGCGCAGATGGATATTCTATTGATCTTTCATCACAACATTCTAAACTTCTCACAGCATACATTGTGTCTGGCTGAATCTGTGGCATATGTCATCGACTATCTTTCCTGTCAATATTCAATAATATCAGAAAGCGACAACACCTCATACAGATTTATATTATATTATAATATTTGTCCCCTGGGTTCCTAGTGGAACATAGGGCTTCTGTAGCACGTCTAAATTTCACTCTCTTCTCTCCAGTCCTTTCAACCTGGCTCAACCACTGCTCACAAGCTTTCATTTCTTCCTCACATGATCTCCTCCATGTCATCATCGCCTCAGACGCCCAACTCATCGACTCCCATTTGGCTTCCACTCCACAGCCTGGTCTGGTCTGGTCTGGCCTGGCGCGTGATGTCCCCAAATGATCCTCTCAGTGTGTGCACAATCCCATCTCCACTTTTTCTGCACATTTGTTGGGCGATCGGTTCTTGGTTGGTTCATTACCAGCCAGCCAGGCTTCCTTGTTGCTTATTCCTATTATTCTGACCATCTGATCTCCATCTTCAGTGTCGAGGGAGCGTAGGCGGCAACTCTTGATGATGTATGTCTGTGGTTTGTTGGAAATGCTTTTCGTGATGCAGCAAGTCTCTCAACCATCACGTAGAAGCACTGACTTGACTGACTTAGTGTTGGAAATCCCAATCTTGTTCTTTATACTGAGTGGAGTGCAGTAGATCTCCACATTGATTTCAGGTTGATGCAGGAAGATGTGTCTTGCTGTCATCCCGATTCTGACTGGTTTTGACATCCTCGTCTGTGCCTGTAGCACCTGTAGTTGAAACGATGCTGCTTAGGTAGGTAGGTGTGTAGGTGTGTAGATAGGTAGGTAGGTAGGTAGGTGAAAGAGACAACTTCCTCCTCCAAATCTTCTTCCCAGGTCTTTTCATCGGTCTAGCCAGCATATGCTCACCTTCTCGCTCCTCACAGTTGTCTGTCGCATGATCCAGTCCAGTACAGTACAGTCCATTCAAGTCGACCACAATCAGCAAGATCATTGGTGATAGTAGGTGGCTGCCTTGTCTTACCTATCAACCTCTCTTCACTTCAAAGACATCATTCAGCTTTCCATTGTGAATTACTTGGCATGTGGCACCATCATACAGCTGCTGTTGAGTGAGGCTCACAAAGGTTAGTCGGGCGAAAGCCGTAGTGTTGAAGCAGCACTCTGACAAATTACTTCTCAATCGATGCTATCGAAGGCCTTTTCAAAGTCAGTGAAGTTGAGGTAAAGATTCAGTTGACTGACATTCTATGCTCTGTTCTATGATGATGCGTAGCGTAGTGTTGCACTTTGATCCTCAAATGATTCGTCCTTCCTGAAGTCAGTCAGTCAGTCAGTCAGCCAGCAGCAGCAAGCAAGCAAGTTTGTCTCAGTCATAATTTTGAATTTGAGGCATTCTCTAGTCTCTCCAGATCATGCGGCTTAATATTTGGCTTAAGGTGGACAGGGGTGTAGCATGATTCCGTGCCAGTTCTTGCAAACACGTGGGTTGCCCTTGTGTTTGAGAGGCAAGCCGTCTTCCAGTCATGCGGCAGGTGCCCTTCCTTCCTTCCTTCCTTCCTTCCTTCCTTCCTTCCTTACAAATCTCCTGTAACAGTGGTGTCAGCATGTCCTCTGTTCATGTCTCCGTGTCTCCTTTCAGTGCTTCTGGAGGAATTCCATCTCCTCCTGCTACTTTCTCGCAGTTCTGCAACTTTATGGCGTTCAGCATTTCACTTCCGCTCTTGTCGGAGAGCTTTTGTTCACTGATAATTCTGTGTCTGTTTACTGATGGTATTTCTGGATGAGTCGCAACCGGTGGTCGTGGTGGTGATGGTGGTGGTCGATTCAGGAGTTTTTCGAAGTGGTCACCCCTTCGTTCCCTTTGTTTCTCCTCTCTCTTTGGTAACTACGTTCCCTTCATTACCTCTCACAGGTCTCATCTGTGTTGATCTGTTCATCTCTCCCCTCCCTGATGGTAACCTGGTTGTTTGATATAATGTTGTCAGGTCCCTCCCTGTCTTTCCTATCTGCAGCCTGTTATGCTTAACTCGCAAGTGTGTCTTACAACTTTCTTTTTGTCTTTGCTCACACTCTTCTTCACTCATTCGTCCAGTGTAGTGCTTTACACGTTGTGTTCACTTCCTCTTTTCGTTGTTCATCCTTAAACTGCACTGCACTGCACTGCACTGCACTGCACTGCACTGCACTGCACTGCATTGCACTGGTTCATCCTCTGCTTCACCATCTTCCTCTCCCTACTCTGTCTGCTTCCATGTTAAGATCCGTGGAGATCCATTCCTTGTCTCGCATCTTCTTCTTCCTTCCTAACACCGTTATGCAGGTCTCCTTCCACTTCTCTTTCAAAGAGTTCCAGTGTTCTTCCACACAGGTCTCTTCAAAGATGTTGCTTAGTGTCTCCCATTTTGTCCTGATGACGTCCTGGCTGACGTCAAGAAGTCTCTTGTAGTTTCTTCCTTCAGTTTGTTTTCTGTTCTGGGTGTAGTGGAACGTGAACTGTCGTCTGTCACCAACTTCTTTGAAGGCCCCCAACTTGATTTTGAAGCTGGGTTCCTTGCACTAGATAGTGACTGTTGTGAACCTACATGTGCTCCTCTTCTTCATCTTATCTTGTGTTCAGAAGGCTGACTGCGTCTCCACTTCCTTCACATTGAGATGAATGAAGTCGATCTGATTTTCAGCATAGCGTGTCCTGGTGTCTGCTGAAATCCATGTCTCTGACTTGTGAATACCCTTGTGTTTGTATACACTGCCTTGCCACCAGTCACCAAATCGTTGATCGCACAGAAGTCTACAAACAGTTCTCCATTCTCATTCGTTTCACCTAATACTTCTCGACACATGATCAGTCAGTTCTCTTCCTGTATTTTCCGCTCCCAGTTTGACATTCATGTCACACCACACATCAGAATTTTGATGTCGCCATCTGTGGTGGGTTCTTGTCCTATACTGATTGCAGTTGTCTGTAGAATTCCTCCTTCTTCTCTTCATCTGCTTGATTATTTGTAGGTGCGTAGCGTAGCCCAGCATTGTATGAATGGGACTTTCTTTCCTTTTGAGTTGAACCAATATTGCTGTCATGATCCTGATCCTGATTGTGGATGAGATTGGTTCCCACTTCACGAGAGCCTTCTATGCTGTTGGGGACATCATGATAGCCACTTCAAAACTCAGTGTGCTCATGGTTGTCGTTTGGGTGACAATATCGGAGTCGATTACTGACTCTCCAGTTGACAGTTTGGAGAGTCCACTTCCATTCTATCTGCTTTCGTAGATTCCAAACAATTTTATGCTATACCTTCTCATCTCTTTCGCAATCTGGGCAGCCTTGCTAGTTTCATACGTGGTGCGGACATTCCATGTCCCCTTCCTTACTTTCTCTTTCATTGAGGGAGAAAGGGAGAGAGAATATATATTGGCCAGTTGGCTTCCCCAAGGCTTTCGCCAACCGACGTCATTTCGTCGCGCCGATTCCAGCGATGAATAAGTTTGTATTTTTTATATTTTCTTTGTGCTTTGAAGTTTCTTTAGAGAGTGGATTGGTTTTCGGGTAGGGTTGCTAGCCCTATTTCCAACGTTCCCTCTTTATCCGGGCTTAAGACCAGCTAGTAACTAGTGAACTAGTTAATTTGGCGAGGTTAACGTCATACAGAAGTATTAATAAAACAATTCGGTACCTCAGTATGTGCTAATCCTCATGACCACATAAGCTAACAGTCCAAGTTTTCAGATGCGCATTTACCAACCTAAGGTTCATAAACACAGAATCGTACTTCGGTAAATAGCTTATAGAGGCTTTAACACACTTTCGTGTCCTCCAGTACTTATTACCATGAAATAATTATAAAAATTAATTAATCAAGAGCAAACTACTAATGAGCTGGTTAACATATAAAACATTTTGATGAAATCCCATAAAGAAAGGGAATAGTCATAATTTTTCACCCAAGATAATTCCAACTGACAGTCAATTATATTTCGAAAGGTGGTCTGAGTGAATTTTCCCAGACGCGGGTAAATTTGTCCAATTGACTGCCCAAGGTTAGCTACCATATAGATTTAGATAAATCTCATCCTGGAAAATTCAGCGGTTATTTAATAAATTTTTAAACAAATGCGATACGGTAATGCTTTTGTCGGTCTTTCATTGGACACTGATATGCATTCGAAATTTCGCTTTCTACTGGTATTTTACACACTACCTAACTCCTTAGCATTCTTAAATTGACACTAACTGGATGCTCAAACACCTAGTATTTCTGAGGCATTCATGTTAGGCTGCATCAGTGAGGTTTGTTTTCACAAGACTTTTATTTAATTCAACTTCAGTTATATATAAAGTGTATACAGATAAAATGTTACTTTACTTAGTGTATGTATGACCATGGTGACACTAGCTCGCCTTCATCTTCTCACCTTATTTTACAGGGCATATGCCGTTACCTGTTGGGAAGTTTTAACTCTGGGGGCTGATCCATTTTATGGTCGAGCGAATGTCGATGTTATGAACCTTGTGATTGGTGGACATGTGTTGGGACGTCCAGAAAAATTGTCCAGAAGAACTGTAAGTATATGAACTAAGAATCGAAATTCTGTATGTGAAACACAATGTCTGTGTGCAGACAACAAAGTGCATTTAAATTTAAAGAATGATAAATCATTTTACTATATCGTCACACCACACCACAAGAACAATGGGTCTGGGAGATAATTTACTGTTTCAGTCTGTCATTCAGTAAAAGCTCTAGACAAATGAAACTAAATGGGCATTACCATGCGTGGTTTGGATATATCCGGTAGAAACAGTTAAGCTATTTGCTCTAGGGGCTGTTAATTAAGTGATTACCAGTCAATTAGAATGCAGTACAGTTAGCTCAAACAAACCAAACAAGCCAAACGTGTATGTTGACAGAATGAGAATCCAGCCAGACAATAAACTGATGTAAGCTAATTTATTATACCAACTACTATAAGTGAGCCGACTACTGAAGTGACTACCTCTCTTGCTATGTTGCTTAAGAGTAATGGATTAGATCCAAAGTACAACTATGTATGAATTCTGCTAAGTGGGATAAAGATGAAGTGAAACAGTACTTGATGATATTCTGTTTTTGTTTCATACCTTTCGATATTTGACAAACACACCTTGGAGGTTATAAGAGTTTCAGGATCCGTTTGCATCAACTTAGAAACTCAAATTATTTCCAGTCGAATGGGTAAGCTAACAACGCTCCATACCTCTTCTTGTTTCGATGGAAGCTATACACTCCATAATTAATAGGTATCAGCGGTATTTCACAGTACGTGTTATATATATGTAAAATGAGTAACCCTAAGATAAAGAAGATACGTTCATAAATTCATAAACCAAACATTTTCTCTCTCTTTACAGACAAACAGAAATCATTTATTTGCTAGTAATGCTTAATCACCTGGAAGCAACCTGTGAATGCGTAATACATCACAAATTCCTGGTAATGCAAACTCTCACGTCCTTGATCAGTATTTCTTGGGTAGTAAAACATTTACTCTGTAACTTACCAATCACTTTACAAAAGACCATAGATAGTTCTTACAAACCGTGGTTAACTAGAGAATCAGTGGATACTCTGACTGGCTCCATACCAATTTTTTTCACTCTTGATGTTCAAGAGAGGTTCTCACTTCTCCTTTCTCTTGATGACGATACACAATATTCATGTTTTCCAACAGTGGAGTTGTCAGTTGGTCACTGAGTCAAAATCCAATAACTAATGGCATAAGTTCACAATTAGTTCAGTAGTCAACAACTAATTTGAAAACAGCAAAAATAGCTGAATCACTTCGTGACTACGTTGCAGAATTCTTCTGTTTCCATTGTTGTTTTTTGCTCTTTTCAACAACTGATTGTTCAAAACTCCTGTTTTGTTTTCCATCACTAACCAAAGACCTATTTGAAGGACTATTTATTTAACGAATGTGTTTCAGCTACTATACAGATTTAATTTGATGGCAGCTAATTAACGTTTGGGACCTTATGCGCAATCCCATAGATGATGCCAGATTAAGCTTCAGCCTGAAAACTGCTTTCGCTAAAAACACCTGACAGTAATCAAATTTACAAGATACAAATACGTCATATAAGATTTCGATGTAACCTGTTACGTTAAAATATAATGAGAAAAAATGTATTCACCTGTTCACATTAATCACTGTAAAATCTAAAGTAACAATCTTTTTCTTTCTTTTTTCTCATGTAAAGTAAGCTGTTTGCATTACAACGATTAAGTTTATTATCTCACCAGATAAAATGAACCATTTAAGTTCACTGAAATAAGGGTAATAAATAATTCAGTGACAACCAGGCCATGAGTCTGCAGGAGAGAAAGGCAAGTAAGTTGCAAGGAAATAAAATCACTTCAAGTCAATTAGTCCAGTTATTCACCTGGTGCAAGTACACAGATGCTTACGACACAGCACAATGCAACAAAACACAAACGTTATAAGTGGTATGTGCAGAGATTGACAGTTGTGACAAATAAATAAAGACATAAAGAAAATACAAAACAATATCACTTCTAACTGTTGCTGATTACAAGCTCAGTTCCACCTGAATAAACATTTTTCCTCCCGAAAACTATCATTTTATTAACTTAGGAATCATCACACATATCTACTAACCTTTTTCCCAAACTTTTTACGTTTTCATTCCTGTGTCTAGCAAACACATCCTCAAGCTAATTATTATTGCTCCGCTTAGTTGTTTTTACCAAAATGAATAGCTGGAAACAAGTCAAACGCACAGCATATTCCAGTCATCTTACCTGATACTCTGCATCTTACCTAGACATCACTATACCATTGTAATCATGAGACACAAGCAAAGTTGTACAGTAAATCTGACAAACACTAACTCATCATTCCTCATTGTTATTTAGCAGTTCTTAAACACTGTTTCGCTTCACACTCAACTCTTAATACAGGAGTTGGTGACTAACTAACAATCACCATGGTGTATTGTTATAGATGGTAGATACACGTTCTACCTTTGTATCAACATTCGTTCTGCTAAAAATAGTCGCCAGTATTCAAATTCATATCCTACACTTGATTTTGAAACTGAATGCGGATGCAGACAGCTTTTACTTTACATTCCAGTATGCTGAAGAGTAAAACTACATTACAAAAGTTATAAGACTTCATTTTTGAAAGTATTTGACAGAATCATATCCTCTTGATATCGATGAATTCTTGCTTACTATGTATACTTCCTTAGTAAATAAACAGTCAGGTGTCTCCACGGTAGCCCTTGAATCAATAATGCTTAACACTTCTTAGTAAGGAACCGATATAAGAACTCCATAATCGAGTGACTAGAATAGTGACCAACATTAGAATTCAACATAATCATCTTGTCCACTCGACCCCAGTGTAGATGAACAACTCGCCTATATAAGGTACATGTTGAGATTTCGTATTTGTGAGGAGAAGGAAACGCTGATTTCTAGAAACTGTAGGACCTGAGTATTTTAACTAACAGTCAGTTCAGCAACATTTCTTGTACTATTTCCAACTTTACCACAAGATTCATGAAGAATATAATTTCAAACAATTAGTTTCCTTTATAAGCTTTGACAAAACAATAAGAAGACGTAAATTGTCTGAACCGTGTGATGTATTTGTGCAACACATTTCGAACTATCTGATCACACAGGTACTTGTTATAGGTATTTGTATGAAAATTCGTGAAGATAGGGAGTGGGAAAATGAAAGGAGGTTAAGTAGGAAGGCTGATATGAAGGCCAAATAACAATGAAAATCAATAGAGAGAAAATAATAGTACATCGAACTTGGTTTTTATAGTCGAATATACCAAGGAAGATTTAATGTGACAACAAACTGTTTATGAACACACAAAGGTGGTCTGAACTTCCTAATATCTAAGGTCTCAATAAATTTATGTATACGTCACCACACGTTCATTCGAATCAGTAGATGCAGTGGGACATGACGCTGTCGTTCACATGCTGTAGGTGTTTGGGAGAACATACAGGTTTGGTTGTTTTTTTAATCAAACCCTGGCTGCATAGTAAGCCCTTCTAACAATAGAGTCAAGTTTCTGTTTGAGGATTGCACTACGAGAATCACCTTTGTACAAAAGATTGATAAAGACATCTTTCTTTGGGACAAAGTGAAGACCTGGTTTCGGCGCTCTGATTATTTTGTGCTGCCTGATAAATATTGATGGATGGTTATTTTCCAACAGTATTTCAGTCAGTGTTCCTCTTTCGTCTTATAAAGTATCCTCTGTGTAAGCACCTAACTAACGCTCACCTGTACTGAACTAGACAAAAGCTATGATAGTTCAAATATTACCCTGTCCATGTAGGTTTTCTGTAGATGGATCGTTTTATGGATCAATCCTACCTCCAACCAACTAATATGACCAAGAATACCAAGTAGTCGTCTTCCCATCCTACGCATATCAAGGATATGCTGTTGTGTACCTCGTTCAATCGGTTTAGAATTGAAGTAGAATGACTAGAGTTACCACTAATAATCAGGTTATCGTCAACATATCTTCGACACAAACGGACCTGGTCTATTGGGTTTTTGTTGTTTTCCACATGTAACATAAATATGTCAGCTAAGTGGGGACCTAAAGGACTCCCCACGGCAACGCCATCAACCTGGCGGAAATGTTCACTCTCAAATGTGAATTTAATATTACTTGTACATAAAAGTAGCAGCTCTTTTAAATGCACAGAAATATAATCACACAAAATGTCAATTCTCTTGACCAAAGTGGCATTGGTGAACAGTGAGCTAACGTCAAATAAACACATAAATTTGCTTTTTAAGTTGACATCCTCAAGGTATTTGATTACTTTAATTGTATCTTTCAAGGAATACTTACAGAACTGTTTCTTAATGGGATCCAGTAATTCTACTAGTCACTGGGCAAGTTTGTGCTTTGGCGAATTGTACATTGACATTATGGGACGTAACGATTGGCTGGGTTTGTGTACTTTGGGCAAACCATAAAGATGCGGGAATCACGATTCAGCTGGTTTCAGTAAATCCAATCTTTGTCTAATAACAAAGTATATATCCAGCAGTTTCACTATCTTCATTAAATTTCTTATAAATGCCTATGACAAGTAGGTGTGTAATCAGATAGTTCGAAAGGTGTTGTGCAAATACATTACACGTTTCAGACAATTTACGTCATTATTATTTTGTCGAAGAATATAATTGCTAATTATTAATCCAATATAAAAAATACCACGATATTTGTACCAGCTGACAGGAATTTCATTGGAAATTTCACTAACAGTTTCCTCTTAAACAGGAAACATTTTACCCTTATCTATAATCCTTTAGGCCTTAATAAACTAGTACATAGGCACAAACAAAAGATTTCACCTCTGAAATTTGTTGCAGAGATTTTTGTCTTATTCCATTGATTGACTATTCTATGCAATAAATACGTTTTCTTGTCTCTAAATCACTAAAGTTCACTTCCATCAGTCCTATAGAATTTACTTGCTAGGGCAATGCGCTTCCGTTGAAAATGTCTGAAACTTATCGGTTGTACACACTATCTCGACCTTCTTCCACTTAGTTTAGTTCAATTTCGAAGTCATATACTTTTGATTATCTGTCTTCTAGCTGGTGATATACAGCCATGCACAATATACACTGTTAGCTAAGTTACAGTTTAAACAGTATTTACAAGAGATGGCTGTTATAACGTAGTTGAACACATCTTTGATTTCCGCACCAAGGACAGTGTGGTCAATGAATGAGATTTTGTCTGAAGCCCAGTAAAACGCTCCATATTCGAACAACTTCTGAACAGTAACTTATACAACAATTATTTTTTGTTTGCCCTCAGTTATAATCAACTTCTGCAATGCTGGAGTCGGTTCACTGAAATGAGACCAACATTTGGACAGCTGTGCAAGAAGATGGATGAGTTCATTATAGCCTCAAAAAATGCTCAAAGCCCCTTCGCTCAACCGTTTGTTGTGTCATTACCGTTACCTAAAAGTATACAGGGTAAGAATTCTCAACTTTTTCACTACATTTTATGATAATTTAAATAAAAGGTGTTTGCAAATTCTCCTGACAACATCGAATAAGATAAATGAAATATAAGCTAAAGACACTAATCTATAACACAAATAAAGATTTAGAATTATATAGATATGCTTTAAAACAGAAGAAGCGGGGACTTAAATACTTGTCATCAGTACTTGCCATCTATGTCACCAACATTAAAAATTGTGGAAAATACAAGAAGGATTAGATTTGGAGAATAAAATGATATCAACTTATTTCATGAGTGCCCTCAACTGCACACAATCGAAAATCACAACAGTTACTAGGACATCAGTTAATTTAATATTAACAAACCAATAATCTTGAGTTTTACGCCAAAACTATTTCTAATCTTCCTAATATGTAAGACAGTTGTACAGAAGGATGCGAAATGTAAGAAGGGAACAACCAATACTGACTAACAGATTATGTGCGCGTGAAGAAATGACATCCATAAGATTGAAATCAACTGAGTGATTTGAAATCAGTAGATTAGTAAAATAAACAATTGTGTAGTCAACAATAAATATCAAATTGCAGTCACCATGGAAGTGAGAAATCGACAACACTCTCCTTCTATATGCAGAGGTTCGGTTGAAACCCTTTTATGGCGATTCCTTCGGCGAAGCGTATTAATCCAGATATTTCCTGTACAATTATTGTTTTAAAAGCACTCGAAGTATCAGCTTGGTGTCCTCTGTCAATGAGGTGTCTACTAACTACACCGGTTAAAATTTCGTTTCATGCAAAAATTATTCGAAATATGCTCAGTGAACCGAATGAATGTCCTCCTCTCAGTGGTTTAAATGTACTTGTCACTGCAAGGGCATGTAAATTCAGAAATGCATTTAGAGGTGATATCAGCTAGATATTTATCCCATTTGGACTTGTTCAATGAACAGCAATGAAGCTGATTTTCGGTGTTCATTTGATTATCGTGTTAATTCTCTCGGATATTGCATCTCCCTTGAAAGTGAGGTGAACAAAAACCTTCTTTTCAACAGCTGGATGTTTATTTCTCTTCATCTGTTCTTTTCCATGCTTCATAATAAATCTCTTGTGATATCAATTCTCTCTAGGATACTCTGCAATCTAGAGACTAGTGTCTACAGGAAACCTACCCATTTGAATCGCTACTTAGACTTCGAATCATCTCACCCCATTTCAGTTAAAGTAGGCCTGGTTAAACGCTTAAGTGATAGAGCGAAAAAACTTACTAGTAGATCGGAAAATCTGCGACAAGAAATTGGATACATCAAGAATACCCTACATCTCAATAATTACCCACCAAAATTTATAAATTCACAAGAAATCGAAAGAAAAATATTAGCAATAGTAGTAGTAGTAGTAGTAGTAGTAGTAGTAGTAGTAGTAGTAGTAGTAGTAATACAGGTGTTGTTAACAATAATCCCACTACTAATGGTAATAATAGCGACAGGGTTAAGAAAGAATTCAAAGCATCTACTGTGTTACCATACAAGGAAGGCACCTCAGAAGCATTACGAAGAATTCTCAACAAGGCTGGGATTAAAGTGGCATTCAAACCAACGAACTTGCTTAGAAACAAGCTTTGTAGGTTAAAAGGTCCTATCTATGCAATTAAACAAAATAATCTGGTTTACCAGATCCCTTGCAATGATTGCGAGGTCAAGTACATAGGTCAAAGCAGTCGACCAGGATCGATTAGAATAACAGAGCACAAACACTTAGCTAAATCAAGATCAGTAGATCCTAATAAGATAAGAAATCTAGAGAAAAACTTGGCTATAGCTCTGCATGCGATGACACAATCACACAGTAGGGTGGGATTGGGTGACAGTGTTGAAAACTAACTTAGTTGGGTGGAGGGAGAGATTGATAACCGAATCGTTGTTTATCGAATCAACACCAAATATATGCAGTCGAAATGATTCTGCACCTGTCCCAGATATATGGAAAATTCTACTACCCTTGTCATCACAGAGAAGGAGAGAAAACTAGGAATATATAAAGACTGCCTCGAAGTTGTGGAGTTACCTGATATGAATATGGACAATAAATTGTGTCCGAAACGTTATCCAGTAAATGCTACTGTTTCACTGTGATATTTCTCATAAACAAACTAAAATGGAATTGCAATCAACCACAGTGCCCAAGTTTTACTCTTATACTCTGCAATGAGGCTTAGTCCTTCCTCTAACTTGTCCACAGAATATAACTTCCCAGCTCTTCTGGGTTTAGACTAGCTCACGCCTATAGCTGACAGGACAGCAACTGTTGTAGCTAAGGTTTGGTCCGGTTCATGTTTTTTTCGATGAATGGTCTTTTCAATTCTATCATAACTTCTTCTTCTCATGTTTAGGTTCAGAAAACTGAAGTCAATGTCATGCTAACACTGTATTGTAAATTTGTGGTTGCGGTGAGCTTTGTTGACCATACCAAAAGGCTGAGTTGCATAGTTCATGTCACCACAAAAAACCTTAACCATTAGCATACCCAAGTTAACAGGTTGTCTTGTGTTCTGTGAGCTGGGTTGTTTAATCGTGAAGCTTTCATCGTCTTTCTGGTCGACATCGTTAGTTCTAACTTCAGTATGAAGTGAGCTGTCAATATCTCTCCATGAGTGATTTAGTGGCTTGCTCTGACGACGTGGTCCGTGACTGGTTGTTTACTTCGATTGTTGTGTCATTGATTTTATAGGCTTTCCTGTTGGCTGTTCCTCTGCTTCACCTCTGACCTTTCTGTCGTTTATCATTTTTCTTAATGGTTGATAGACCGGGTCTATGTCTATACATCTGTTTATTGCTGACTGACTGACCTGAATGCCAAGCTTCTGAGAATTCTTTGTTTCCTCTGTCTGAAATTTCTACATTGTCGAAATTGAATTCATGTCCATAATTATCCACGTGCATTGAAATGACTGACGAAATGTCGTAGCGTTTTACAGCTAATTGGTGCTCATGTAATAGGTTGTTCCTCTTATGCCCGAATTTAGGCACATGGCTGCAATTTGATATTTATTGTTGACTACACAATTGTTTATTTTACTAATCTACTGATTTCAAATCACTCAGTTGATTTCAATCTTATGGATGTCATTTCTTCACGCGCACATAATCTGTTAGTCAGTATTGGTTGTTCCCTTCTTACATTTCGCATCCTTCTGTACAACTGTCTTACATATTAGGAAGATTAGAAATAGTTTTGGCGTAAAACTCAAGATTATTGGTTTGTTAATATTAAATTAACTGATGTCCTAGTAACTGTTGTGATTTTCGATTGTGTGCAGTTGAGGGGCACTCATGAAATAAGTTGATATCATTTTATTTTCCAAATCTGATCCTTCTTACTTTGGCCAAACTTGTCAAGGGACCTAAATGCATTTTCTGCTACACGCAGCAATAAGTGTATATTATGGAATTGTAGACATGCATATAGTGTCACCATTTTAGTCTTATAGATGCTTAGAGTAGAATTCACTGTAGCTTCATTACATGATTTAGCGTCAAGGTTTTAATTGTTTCTGAATTAACGACACACACTTTTCATATTAACCCGACCTGTATGGAAGAAATTAAACACTAATAAATGGTGACTAACAGAAAGGGATATTTTTGATGGAGCGAGCGCTTCATCTAAGATTCATAGATGAATCGCCTGTCTAGTTTTTTTAAGTGTGAGAGAGCCTATCTGTAGAAATGTTATTTATTGGATTCCCCTACCATTCGATGTTAAGTGCAGTCAACGATTTATACCTATTGAAATTCCTACGCATAAGAGTACTTGATGGCACCTTAAATCTTGCTTAAAATACGCACTATTCAATGTACTAGGCAAGTTAAACGTTCAACGTCTATCAGTCTTAGCTTGGTGATAGCCCATAGATTTATCACTAACTGCTCCGCAAATAACACAAACTGTCTATAATCTCATCAACAAATGCTGACTGCTTTTTGTTGTGTATTATAGGCGGTTCTGGTCAACAAGCATCAATTTACGATTCAAGCAAGCCACATCACCATGAATCAAATGATTTGTCTTTATGCATGCTTTCCAACAACTGTCAACGTAGAACATCAATGGATGGCGGAAATTGGTGAGTGATATGGACTCATCACTAATCAATGAAACAAATTTATCGCATGGTATGAGTTCTAGTAAACAACTTTTACTATCATCTAATACATCTAAAGATGTGAAACCATCCACATTTCACAGTAAAAGTCGCTCATATGCAGAGACAGTTACGCGTGGTTATGTTGTAACACCTGGTGTTGAAGGTATAAGTATGAATAAGTTTAATTATCGCGAATCTCAAATAGAAAATCAAATTTACACAGCATCAACTGCGCCACTGAATGGTGCTTATGAGTGTTCTATGTCAGATCCATCCACAGAACAAACTACGCTAGCTACAACATCAAATGGCACTGAGAGCAATAGGCCAACATCTATTAATTCGAAATCACGTTCAATACATGAGAATACAGAGACTGTGATAGACAAGATTCCTCACTGTACAAGTACTACTCTTCAGCAGCAACAGCATCCGCAAAGACAACAACAACCTTTCAGTCAGCCGAATAGCCCGAACTTCGGTTTAGAAACTTTGCTGCGTGACCAACGCGACTCAAAAACGGATTCTTACAATACTTTAGGCTACCAGAATGACAAAAACGCTACTCATACTAACAATTACAATGCTTTTAATAACACTGTTGGCAAACAAAACGATCATACAAATAACCAACTAACTTCATTTAATTATAACCATATACCCAGTAAATCATTGCATTCAAAGTCATTCAATTCGAAATCGATGAGCATGGTGGACACTATGCCTCACAGTAGCAGTGGATCAACCAATAATCGTAGCTTAACTGCTTATTGGTTAATGGAAACTGGAGGTGGAGTTGACTCACTTGGTTACGAAAGACCATCGTTAATTCGCACATCAATTCCATCTCAGACGAACTCAGCAACTTCAAACAGTGAAAACAACAACAACATCCCAATGTTCATTGATCAAAGCGGTAATATTGATTTCCTCGAAAGAACTATTTGTAATCATCAATCGCTAAGGAAGACAAAAGCCAATCCTTTGACAACTTGAACTGTAAGCACTATGAAGACAGTGATTTCTATATGTTCCTAGAAAACTAACGCACAATAACGCGCATATATATTTACTTGTGTATGCTGTTATATAGTAAAAGCGTACGGGAACGTTCTACACTATTTTTTCCACTGTACGAATCAATTGTTGGAAAATTAATGTTTTGTTTTAACAGTTTAAACTTCGTTTACATTTATAACCTTGAATTTCTGTCCTACTGTTTATATACACATATATGTTAGAAACCATCACTGATGTCCTAACCATGGATTACTTTCATTTCTTTGGTGTACATGCATACCTATTTACGTGTCTTCTCAACCTTATCCTGCTAATGGAAAATAAAATTTCTGTTTTTTCAAACAATACTGACATAATCTGTGCAATTTTAATAATACTCTTCGGTATTTTGGTAAATCGGGTATTTTTTTTTTCATTTTACAACCTGCCATTAAATGCAAGTCATCTAAATACACACTACTTCATACAACATAAGTAGCTAACGTTTATTCAGCAAGGTTTGTGGGTTCAGCAAACCTTTTTCTCTAGGATTAAAATTTGTCACGACTACTCATCAGTAGGAGAACAAGAAGTTGTACGAAGGTAACTACTTTATACAGGTAAATTGAAATTATATTTACTGGTAAACGTATTTGTTTCTGAACCCACTGAACCCACAAGTCTCCGAAGAACATCACACATTAATAGCCAGGCTTTCTGAAGTCTCACCTAGTATAGGTTATCTGTTCTCCGATCTGTCACAAGGTTAGGACGTTGAAGGTGGATAACTAAAAGGCTTACAAAAGATGTCACATTGCAGAACAGTTTTCTGAAAGCGACCTCTTTCTGAATCCACCCGATATAGATAGACATGAATTTCAGACAGTGAAGAGTAAACGAGTAAACTTACACACAAGGATGAACTGGGAAATCATCAAGCAGAGATATGTAAAAAAACAGCGACAGGACGATGATAGATTAAGTAACTGAATAGAAAGTTCGTCACAGGATAGTTTGGTTAGCACTTTGTGTTCTTCATCATTAATGCTGATTTGTAAATTGTACGTGGCCCGTGATACTGCCTGAAAGTTTAGGCCGAAGCAGGTAGTTTTTTTTAAAGAAAAGATGCGTAACATTTTTCAGCTATCGAGATTGGTGTTTTAAGAGTGCTGATCTCAGCCATGTCAAAACATGTGCAACCAGAATTAATTATTGCTTTTACGGATTCCAGTAATAATACGGAGACCACGGAAATCAAACACGCAGCCTCTTCGGACACCATCAGTTCAGATATGGCAGTTTCTCAAGCAGAAACCATAACTACCCGCACAACTAACTATACACGCAACCGTTGACAGTCAGACTAACGGCGACCCAAATTAGCATATGCTGCTCCAGCCTTCCATACACATTATGTATCTCACCGTACTCATATAACTATTACCATCCCAAACAATTGATTTTTTAGGGTACTTCGATGGTTCTACGGACATATCAGGCTTACAGACACTAGTTCATAATTGAATAAATTTGGCTTCACTAGCCTGTAAGTTTTTACAGAGTAAAACTATATCATTTACATATTAAATGTCAAAAAGTTTTTCCTCCACTAGCAGATTTATATCACTATCGCTGACCTTGTTAAGAGTTGCTTAGGAAATGTCATCAACGACAATATATGGGGTGAATAGCAAAACCAGGCCGTTTTACTTCCGAATTACGACCCTTGCCAGGTGAGGGCAATAAATACGACTTCTAGGCAGATATTATGAATGTAAGAACCTACGATAACGTTTTAAGATGAAGTGTAGACTCTATCTATCCCCGGTTCTACGGAGGAATTTAAAGAGAAAGCACTAGTTACTCCTACTAGATAAGTAGAAGCGAGTTTGAAAAAAGCCGCTCGTAAACTACAGCAAATTATTGAAAATTCATAAACCTGCTTAGTTGCATGAATACGTACTCAACTACTTCACTTCATATTCTTCTGTCAGATATCAGCGGAGACCAGTTACGCAATATCACCTGACATTTGGCATATGCGAAAACTATCCCAAAACAGTTTATATTCTTCACTCAGTAGTTTGTGCATCTCGCTAGTGTCTGCCTAACAGAACAATTTTATCTCAGTACTCCATACCGATCAGAGGATTTCTGATTTGGAGATCACCCGATAAGAAGTTGAAGGTAAGCACCACGTCAACAACGAAACGGAACAAGAAGTCTGATTACACCCATGATTACATAAATCACTAAAGTCATTATAACCCCCATTATTTTTCACAATCCTTTAATGTCTAGTGCAGATGCTCGAAGTAGAGTATTATAATCATACAGCCTTCAAAACAAGTGTGTAGCGGTGATTATCACACCAGTGTTGTAGACGTTGATGAAGATCAAAGCTGTATCCAACACCTTCATCTAAACCCGAAATTCGTCTACTTTTCATGCGGCTGTTATTGCTCAGTTTTGGATAGGCATTGTAAGACCAGGTAGCCTAAGACTAGACACTTTGTCGAGCTTATTTGCATGCGATTTCTACACAAGAACTTTTTAATTTGCATGCTAACAGGATAAAATACTTTTAGTGGTTTTACTTACTTCTGACTTTTAGTCTAACTTTGCAGTTAGCTTTCAGTGCAACTTTCAATACTAACTATTAAATCAATGAATTAAGTACTAAAACGGAAGTCAGAATTGAATAAAATCTTTGCACACACTTAGAAACCATGTGCACGTTTGTGAAATAGGTGGCAAAGAGTCAAACCTATTGAGTGAGGGCTAGTGATATTACCTGGCTGTCGAGACCTCGAAAGATGCAACGTGGTTCGAACCCATAACCCGATGGTTAGAATTCAACTGTTTAGACGAACAAGCCACAGATCTACTAACAACGACAAACTCATTTTTACCAACAAGAAAACGTTTTGCAAGTGGCTCCACTTAGAAATGATACCCGAGCTTTGGTAGAAAGAATTGCGAAAAAATTAATGAAAAGCATCATAGGACTTTTATCTTTTCAGTCTATAAATGTACAATGACGGGAGCTTCATCCCATCCCAGTCAAATTCTTCAACAGGTATTTCAGTTATGTCTGAAGTATGCTTTTGAGAAGAACGGATTACATCCCATTTAAACTTCTCTTTTATACTGTGGGAAAAGCCAACAGCTCGTTCAAGAAGATTTTTTAATTTATTGCTTGTTTCATCAGCACTCGATATGTCAACATCACACTTACAAACAGAATGAATGTTCTTGAAAAGACGTCCAAGCATGGTTGGAAGAAATCCTGGTTCCGTTAACCTATCACGCGTACATGAGCTCGAAGATTCAGAGAAGAAAAGGTCTAGTAATTCCACAGTTGAGTGGTTATTCGTCACTTCTGATTTGTTCGCATTATTTAACTGATGATAAAGTACCGTGATGAAATCAATATACATTTGGGGATACTCAAAAATTGCTTTTTCACAACTAGCAAGCAACTGAAATATACGACGCCACTGTTCCCAGCCTTCTATTGAATGGACTGAAATGGAAAAAAAATATCATCGATAGTAGCTGTGTGGGATGAATAAAAATAATATTGACTGGAACAACCCTTGCATATTACAATTCAATAAGAACAAACAGAAGGAAAGATTGATAACTGAATCCATATTCATGCATATGATACCTAACACATAAAACAAGTAACTCAGCCCAACCGTCAATAACATGGAACACAAGGCTGGGTAAAATATGACTAACGTACAAAATGAAAACACTACTCATATCTAACTGTAAACGGGTGAATAAATAATCCTTAAGGTTGGGTGTGATCACGACTACTTTGGCTCGAAATATCACTAAAATTAAATAACATCGGTGTGTGTAAATATTCATAACAAATATATTCATAAAGTCTATTGCTTCCAAAATGAGTAAATTTTGCATCGATACCATGAAATGAGGACTTTAGCAAGTCTAATATAATCACAAACGGCACAAGTAAACACAGTATCATGAGAAACCAGTGTATGTTTAACTTTCTTCCTATACTCAACATGAGACTTAACACAACAGCATAACAGTTGAAGGTACTACACTTTACATAGAGCATCAGGACACAGAGCGGCAAGATGACGGGAGATTGTCGAAGAAGGGCATGAAAGAAGATGGGCCAAAGTAAACAACAAATGAGAATGGGATGCAAATACATCTGCACATTTGAGATGGATTTTGAGTCATATCACACTGAGGTTTCAACGATCTATTTTAGTCGTCATGATGTCCCTAATCTGGAAGCATGCATTTCGATTCCGAACAATAAGTCAGAGACTGTATAGACTGACGCTATTTCAGTCTAGTAGTGTTTAACTTGTCACCAAATTAATTTTACTTCAGCTGACAAAGCACGCAAGAGTGAACAGTGGCCACACAAATGTAACACACCCCAGACACCTGAGTCAATGAAAGGTCACAGCGTCATCAACTAACTTCCACCTGAAATCCTACGCTTAAACTATACAACTATAACGTAGCGATTCCATGACACACAGCTAATGATACGAAGGCAACTGTATTCGAACACCTCCAGCCTTCATGTGTTCGCTACCTTCAACGGTCACGTTTCACAACCATGGAGAACATATAGAACTGCTGTCCGGCATAATGGATACTCACATGTCCCACCGGGACCCCAAGTAAGTAGGTAAAATTCAATCAAATATTTTTGGATCTGTGCTGATATTTCGTTGGCCACCGACGCACCGAAACTTATTCAACTTCTCATGTATGAAAAGTGAAAACGGTCTTAACTACTCCCCTCACTACTATCAGACAAAATATTATTGCAGTCCAGTCCTTAAGCAACAGTTAGCATTTAGGGGAGAAACGCAAACCAAACATTTTCAAGTCAAAATTTAGGATGCCCAAGAGATTCTGAATCTTCACCCGAAAAGAATGCTACAGCTTAACTAAGAAGTCTCTTACAACAACGTCAAGTCAGACGAGAGAGAGGGACTTTTATAAGCAAATGCATGATGAAGTTAAGTGAAAATGAAAAAAGTGAACATTCCTGATGGACATCGCTTGAAATAGATAACTCATCATAGGCTATAAAACGCACACTGATGTTTGAATACAGCTTTAACAAGATTAGTGCAATTTCCAGTCATCCTTCTTAGATGCAGGCAGTGCCATAAGATTTCTTAATCAATGGAGACTAATGTCACCTTCAATTCAAGAAATAGGGCTGGTTTTAAATGTCGATAAATGTATCTAGGTTCTGAGATCTAAATGATGCACCTAGAGTCAAGTCTAGAAAGTACTCGATTTTCTTAGGTCTGCTGTTCTTGAGTTTCAAATAGGCGTCTAATGATTAAAGAACATAAAATCTTAGAGAGACTGTTTGTCAAAGCGGATCCCCTTTGGTTACCACAAGGGAATTTCTCTTGCATCTTAAATAGTGGGACAATTAAGGGTTGGGAAAAATCACAGGTGAACATTTGAGATTCCCACAGGTCAGTCAGTCTAGAAAATAATCCTCCACCAACATCCTTGAATACTTTCGTAGACAGCTGTCCATCCTAGTTTCAGCTCACTTACAGCCTTCTCAACCTCATGAATAATGAAATTCACCCCAATGTCCCAACCACAGTGCAAATTGATGATGGATTACCGAAGAGTAGCTGTAGGCTACGTGAACTGAACCTTAAGATGCTCCATCATTTTAGTCGTCCCCTGCGGAGTGAGTCAAAGACCCTCTTCATGAGTGTGAACTCGAGTTGCATCTGCTCCTCATTGTACTCGGAGTCTGTGGAAATAGGTTCACAGGCGTCAACTGAATAAGCCGTCGGGATTTGTCCTCATTTTTAACTCTTTTCTGAAGGTCAGAGATACTCATTGCCAATTTTTAGCAACAAACTGGAGATAGCACCGTTTCGATAACCATCTACTTATCCTTTGTAAATTCTTGTCATCAAACTACGCTTCAAACTATCTTGTGGCTTTCGTTTCCCTACTTCCACTAAGGTGCAGAAATACACATCCTGGAAACAACTTTTAATCACTATATATATATATATATATATATATATATATATATATATATATATATATATATAAATGATCTAAAGGGACTTGAGTGTTGACAGAGATGTGGCGGTAACTGATACCATCCAACTGCTCACATTGCGGAAGATTACTTCTTCTCAAGGTATATGAGAAAACAGTGGATAAGTACAGATAGTCTGATCGACCTAAGTGCGTGAGAGCAGAACCCACACCAAACTGTCTGAAACCAACTACACAGTTTCGAGGGGAGTTTGGGATTCAGATTTGGTTGTATTTAGCCCGTTCTAGAACAAACACCTACTCCGCTTGCACCATAATTCCGTAGGATAGGAGAAGATAGTCTGTCAGTCATTCAGAAATATGACTTCACCACTGGAAACCTGAAATAGTGAACGTTATTTACATTATGACAGTAACTGCCTTCAATCTTATTACTAGTATGTTAAAATTCCAAGAAGCAATAGTTCCAACCAGTATAGCTCATTCAGACAAGGTGATCCGGTTCCTATGGACATACAGCAGAAATATGTCACAATTAAATTATCAAATAAGTAAGAATTCATAGAAAAATGGTTATTGCAATGGAGCTATAAGAGTGTAGTGCTTGAAATTGAAAAGTACCTTACCACCTAATAAATATTTGAACAATAAACTAAAACTATGACGGTCACGCAGAATATAAAAATTGAGGGCTGAAGAATGATTTATGCTTCAAATGCTGAGTTTCCTTGAACCTAGCAATCACTTGATTATTGAGGATGATGGGAAATATGCTCAAAGATATATGGTTTCACTAGTTTTGTAAATATGCTGATTTTCATTTACACCAAAGGAAACATTCTGCAAGCCATACATAATTTAACACTCCCAATGGCTAAATAGATTAAATTAGGTACATCATTACACACATCGCACCAGGTCCAAGCTGCCATATCTCATATCAGCGTATCAAGCGAGAATGCATTAAAATGAAAGATAAAGAAACAAGGGAGAAAGTGGTCAAAAAAGGTAGAAATTCGTGGTTAAATAACAAGGAAATTCTGAAATTCGTATGATGATTAGGATGAGGATAATTTGTGGATGTATCTGCGCCACCAAGGGCGATTCTGAGCCATATCACCTAGAGTCTTCAACCACCGACTACCATTGTCACGTGAATCTCAACCGAGAAGTCTACATTCACCAACACAGTTCAGACAAACAGTCAAAGATTTCATGCACTGATGCTATGTTTTAGTGTGACCGCGCCTAACTTTTCTTCAGCTAACGCTGCATGATGGGGCAAACGGTGACCAGGAATGTGTAGCACTTCTCCCAAACATTTGAATCGATGACTTTCCTCTCCTTACTAAAACTCTAAACCTGACTTCTACCTTACTAAGATGGTGCTGCTACAACACAGCTCAGTGTTACGAATACAAAACCTACTCACACCCTCTACCCTTAATAGTCACATTTCACATGCATATCATGGGAGAGGGTGAACCACGTGCAGATTACAGTCGCATCCCATTGTACGCGTAGCCTGCAGGGCCGCGTTCGCGTGTATCCACTCATTTAGAAGACATTGTTGAGATCCACTGGCGCTTTTTAACGACGCTCTGAGAGTCGGTCTTCAAAGCTGTTTTGCAGCAAACTGGAGATGGTTCCAAGATTCTTCTGAATAAGTGGTCGCTGTGTTCTGACAACTGTCTAGCCAGTTTCGCGCTGAAAGCATCCTTAGAACTCTACTTTCATTGACGCGACAACGCCTGGTCGCTGTCCAAACATGTGCTCCATAAGTGGTCCCCGTCTTCCACCGACCCTCTCCAGAGATAAATGATAGTAATGCGGTCTACCTGTGTTCACCGCTGAGTTGAGGTCGGTGGACACCACGTAAGATGATGTATTTCTTGATGTACGAATTTTGTGCTGGCTAGAAACTAGCGGTTACCTGAGCACAGTTGTATCAGGCGGTCACCGTTATCTTTTCGGTCGGCTGGAATTCAAAAAGTGACGTATAATTGCCTTGCTGTCTGACTTTTGTAATGAAATCACCTGCAATGACAGCCACGTCTGAACTGTAGGAGGTTGGAGGGTTTTCGGTAGAACTCATCCTTTGCTTCATCCCAACTGCAGTCAGGAAATTACGAGGAGACAACTATGAGGTTCACTTTTCTTTTTGGTCCTCGCTGTGCTGTTTAACACACAAGTGACTGCCAACCGGAATCCAATTAAGAAGTGCACTTTTTGCTTTGTCATTTAATACCAAACCTAACCTTACAAGACTGAGAGAACCAGCCATCGATTCCCCAGAAACGAGAAGAATAAATCATCAGCATGCCAAAATATAAAACAGTATTATGAATTGCTTCCATCCAGTCAGCCTATAAAAACAAACACACACACACTAAAGTAAGATGAAGAGTGTAAGCAGGATACAATTCGAATTTAAATAATAACTCAAAAGTAAGTGTTCCTCAAGACATTTAAAAAAGGTTGATATTAAGAACACATACTTAGTAATAAATTGAGAAAAGCGAATTGAAATTCAGCAAGCAATTCACGCGTACAGTCAGGATCCTTGCTGACAGTATTATTTATCCCTAAATTGACGTTAGACGAGATCACGTCTAGAATAGCATTAAGAGTGTAAGTTTGATCCAGACAATGTGCAGTTATTTCAGCTGCAGATGAGGCGGATGGATACAATGGTTTTGGCGGAAGTGATGTAAAACGTACCTACAGTAGAAAAAATATTGAATAGGAAACAATGTAAACAATAAGAAGCTATTTAGTAACTATTTTACAAGTGAAATGTGAATATGAAAAAATCACCGCTCAATACAAAGAGAAATATTTAGTGATATCACTCATCATATCAACATGAACGGAGCTACAGAGCACTAGTCTATCTGGTAACCTTTCAACCAGTTAGTCACAGATTAGAAAGTCGATGCATGTAGTATCATAATTCTTCACACATGAGGGTTTTTTTTACTACGTACATGGTTACCAAACTACATTTATTCATTCATTTCTATTTTTCTAAACTTCTTAATAACAAACGATCCAATGTAGTCATGAAGAGTATGCTACCAAGGTTTTGTCAATCTTAGGTTTTGGCCAATAGAGCTTTTATTGCTGTCTCAAGAGTAACTTTCAGTGTTATTTGGCTAAAATGATTGTTTGAATTTCTAGTCGTTCAATTTACTTTCAAGCTTGAGCAACCATAGGCAGATGCAGAAAACGAATGAAGATTAAAGTCTGAAAGCAAATATTATATGAAATTCCTGTAATGTAATGATGACGATGAGTGGCTATGATAATTATTCAGTTAACACTCCATGCTACTTAACAGTGCTTTATACAAGTGAATGGTTGTAACAATTAACAAGTCTGTTTGCTTCTGCCACTGTTTAAAATCCATTCATAATCTAATCAGTCATTCGTACCCTGAAAAAACAGAACCTGTGAAGTTGCGTATCATTTGAAACAATAGGGTGGAGTAATAAGGGAAGTTATAATCAAACAGAATACCTATATTGACTGGTCATGGGAGAGCAGCCAATTTCATGTTGTCTAGTCCTGAGTGCAGACCGAATCCCATCGATCATATTTTCAATGTGACCCCTAAGCAGAAGGCTCAGCATCGCGGTGCACATTAGTTGGTTGGAGACAACCGGCAGGAAATCCTGGGCCTGGGTTTTGTGCTTGTTGGCACTCATTAGTGAGCACGAAACCTAGATCCAGGGCTTCCCGCCAATTGCCTCCAACCAACTAATATCTACTAAACAGAATACCTAGTAGTGACATACTGTCAAAGCCCCTCTCTTGCTTCGGTTATTACTGCATGACCTTCAGTGGTACAGATGAATAGTGAGCACAGAAACTAACAATTACATAATAGCCGTTTGATTTTATCAGGAGAATATGAAGATATTCGCATAGAAACGATGTAGTGGAACATTAGAAAAATGAAGTAAAAATACGGATTGTCTACTCCACAGGCAGTACATACTTATTGTTACCAGTCAAATATTCACTACAAGTAAGACCAAAACAAAACTTATTTAGTGCTTAATACTTACTTCTGTACCAGGAATAACCTTCAAATTTGGTAGGAGATCTTCAGGATTTGTATTTGGTGAACAATTAGTGGTACCGATATTTTTAAGAGCTAAACGACCTTGTGTATTCGAAGATACAGATAAGAAGTGTGGACAGGAATACAGACGACCACAACGAGGAACAAGACGATTTAAGGTAGTTGCTGTTATGAAGTTAGATAATGAAATCCAATCCCTGTACCTAATTTACAAAAAGACTATATTTTAACAGAGTTAACAATAGGATACTTGATTAATATGTGTATAACCTGGATATTGTGGTAAAATGTAACTACGTATTAGATATGTTTATTTGATAAGCCACACAGTGAATCAGTGGTTTAGGAAGACGACTATAAACCATTGGGTTACGGGCTCGAGCCCTTACCCACCTACCGAGGTTTGGGCAGCTAGGTGCGGCTCATTGCCTACTGCATGGATGTGCAGAAGGTGGCTGAGTGTGCTATATTTTTTTATCACTGTGTGCCGTATCAAATAAGTATATCTAGTATGGAATAAAAGGATACCTCAGAATGAAACAAATAAACAATAAAAGTCAGACAGTAATCTAAAGGCATAAAATGTAACTAAAAATGGTGAAATCATCATTTGCAGAAATCTATGACCCATTAGTGGACATTACATAATGTCATCAAAGGAATAAAAAACAGTACGTACACATTAGATAATCTACTGATAGCACGTCATGTACTTTTTCGAAACCCTTTAGTGTGACTCCCTTCAATTTATTCAAACTGAGTGCAGTGAATTTACAAAGAATTTAGATGTTCACCTTCTTCTTACAGATGTCGTCCTGTTGATATGAAAGCGTTCTGCGTAATGAACTTCCATCGACGTCACGTAAACTCGAAAAGTAACTCATATACCTCATGTAAACATTCCTGCACTTAAGATCAAATTCGTTTTGAGACAAATTTTTCGTATATTTGACTGACTGCAATTTCCCAACTGCAGCGAGCAAGCAAAGCATTTCCATTCATCACTAAACATATGAGGGAGATAATACAAAAGTAGATATCACAAAACCGTTTACTGATGCTCAGTTCACTTTCGAGAGATACGGATAACGAATACAATCACACCACACACTGAAGAATGTGTCGGTGCTTGTGATAAACGACTACTGATACTAACAAACAAGTCAAAACTTGAGTTTCCTTAGTTGTTGTGTTACTAAAATACAGTAGTTACAACAGGATATATGCAAATCCAATCATCAGGATTATGTCTTCTATGGGATATATACTAATATCACAGATGACAGACAACATGGTTTTGGCCCACAGCTTGTATTTTGGAATCAAAACTCAATATTAAGACGAGAAAACTCAAAGTATTAGGACTCAGTAAGTTATTCTAGGATGATATCATAATAGTAGAATACACAGTAAAGTGTGGAAAGGGAATAGTATTATGCAGGATTACTATCAAAGTAAGCTGCAACTTAACACACCTGGCTGGTTACTAAAACATGATTATTAAAGGTGTTTCAACAAGACTCAGACATAACAATATTAACCAAAGACTAAAAGATTCAGCATTTCTTCACTTTGCTTTTTAGTTACCAATTATATTTGTTACCTATCCAGAAAACTACACCCTTATATACAATACAATATGTGGATAAGCTCTCAGACAGATTTGATATATCCTAGAAAACGAACATCAATTGTAGCCATTTATCTATGAGGCGAATTAACAACTTACGACTCTGTAGGATATCGCCCCAAATACATAGAAATCTCAGTTAGATTTGAAGATAAACGCTCTATCTCATCACTAGATGGAGCAACATCAATGAAATCTAAGTGAGGAAAAGGGATGAGATTAATCTTTTAGACGGTTTGTAAAAGAAAATTACCCTCTTCGTCTCTCCGCCACTTCTTCACAATGAAGCCAGGTTGATCAAAGTTTGTTATAAATCCAACACGTTGACCTGACAAACAATCTGAATTCACAGCACTATTCAAAAATATACAGATATACAAAGAAACAAAGGCAATACATTCTGTGGGGGAGGGAATGCCAAACAATATGTATAATTAGTTATTATTCAATCAAACAATTAAGTATTCAACAAACCTACTCTGATTTATGAAATAGGGTGAAGCAACGGTTAGTTATGATCCCAATTCATTTTGGCAGAGGCAACATGATGCACTTATATAAGCAACTCCCACTAGTTATAAGGTATCATAATACTGACAGAAGAAACCAACGTAAAATGTGGCACAAAAAATGTATCACTTCAAGTTGCTACACGTAACAGCAGCATGCAAAGAATAACTACATAAAAAGCAGTGATATATATATATATATATATATATATATATATATATATATATATATATATATATATATATATATATCAAGGCATGAATACGTTTGAACTAGTGTGACCAATTCTAAATCGTCTCAACAGAGGTAACCCAACCATTGATTCTTGTCATCCCAAACGCCCTCATCAATCAGGCCGTTTTCATCACACCCACGCACACACATACAGCTCTAACGAAGAATCAAAACCTCGTGGACTGGTGCAGTATTCCGGTCTGGCCACTCTGAACCTTCTTCAAGCCCAATCGTACTTCAAAAAACATTGCACACCTAAGTGGCGGCTCGGCATGAACACCACATGTCTAAAACACCACAGTCAGTGAAGGTTAACGACTTGCCCGCCCTTGCCTAGTACCCTCCACATAACCTCGACAATCCTCAAACGGTAATAACACTACACGCGGACAATGCTACGAAGATACCTGTAATCTTATGGCATATTCTACTTTCGACGAACAGCCAGAATGAGTATTCTCGCATCGATCAGTTAGAATGAGGTTGCGAAAACCCACTGGCTTTTATTAACCTTTTGGATTTAGATAATCAACTGTCTTTACAACTGCTTTTACAGAAAGATGAATATTACACCAGATTTCATCAGAAAGAGAATTACTGCCATATTCAGATATAGCCTCAGATACCACCCTTTTAAATGTAAACTTCATGTTCTTATCTCCCGTTCAAGCACATAAAGATTTAAGTGAATTTTCTTCCATGTAACCATTAGGGTACAACATACACATGTTCGTATTTAGGTGTGGTTAAAGTTCAGACGGGTACCTTAGCAAGAGCAATACCGATACCCTCCGAATAATCTGTTTCCGATGAGAAGTCAAATATTTTGATGGTGTTGATATTCAATCATACCTTAACTAATTAAAAGCCTGATTTGCCAAACTCTTCAGTTCTGGAACAATCACACAAGATAGTTCTAGAAACACATTTTTATTGAAATATGTCCCCATAGTACCACCATGCTTTAGTTTGCTAAGCTGGTCTTGGCGTTTTGGTGGTCACCAAAACCATCATCCTAAACAGGTCGATTCAAGCAAATTAGCTGCACGTAACATTGTAGCTAACTGTCAATCCAAGCTAGATTTAAGGCTAGCCATTGACCCTCCAGAAAGTGTAGACAGCCATTGTCTGCACTTCCAAGACGCCATGGAAATGGTGAGTAGGGGGCACTTGCTACTTGGAAGGACGTCGCTCTAATAAACGCTGAGTCTCTGCGAGCTCCCTGCAACTTTTTGATGCCCGTCGGACCATTTCGGTGGATAGCAAATACAATAGTTCCCTTAAGTATCTTATGCGAAAGATTACATAACGCTTACGCGGGGACTGTGAGACTTGTTGATCAGAACGCGCAAGTGATATGGAAATAGAAGCTGCATCTGAAAATAGTCGGAGGCTGTTCCAGCTCATCCGAGCCACTGGCAGCAAGAAGCCTCGTAAGTGAAATGGTGTGCGAGGTAGGTGGTACGCAGATAAACGATCTTCAAAGACACCTGGGACGCTGGGCTGGGCACTTCGAACAGCAGTTTAGCTGACCCAAGGCTCTACTATTGTCAGCTGCGGTTTGTCGTGCTCCATGGTCAGTTAAAAGTGACCCACCTAACGAAGCAGAGGTCCATACGGAACTCCAAGTTCTGAAATGCAACAAGGCACCCGGCCCAGACAACTTTCCCCTAGACTATTTTAAGGATAAAGGGATGACTCTAGTCAAGGAACTGACTAGATTGTTTGAGGTATGGCAGACTGAGAGTGTTCCATCACTCCGGAATGAAGCCATTGTTGTGTCGATCTATAAAAAGGATCTACGTAATATGTGTGACAATCATTAGCGTATTAGTCTGTTATCAGTCGTGTCCAAAACATTGGCTGGAATCATGCTTCATAGACTGCAAAATATGTGAGGAAATGATTCGCGAGGAGCAGGCCAGGTTTCGTTTAGGTCGTGGATGCATTGATCATGTTTACCCTCCATTAGATGCTTGAACATCGCCAGACGTATTGTAGGTCACCAATCGTTGTGTTTATTGACATTAGGGCTGCCTTTGATTCGTTGGACAGAGCTGTACTCTAGAATTGTCTGTTGGAGAGGGACATGACTGAGAAATTTAATCAAATCTTGAAATCCCTATATAATAACACCTCAGGTAGAGTGGGGGCAACAACCACTTGCCTCCTTTGTTCCATACCACCTTTCGGGTTAGGTAGGGTTGCCCGATTTCTCCATTCCTTTTTAACTTTGCCATCGATCATATTTTTGAGACAGTTGTGAAGGAAGTGCGTCATGGTGGAGTGGTTCACCAACCCGGAGAACGGCTATTCGACCTTCAATATCCGGATGATATCGTATTACTGTGTGATAACACACAGGGTACTCAAGTCGCACTTAATAAGTTGGCGATCAGTGTCCGTAAGTATGGTATATGCTTTGCACCATTGAAGTGCAGAGTACTTTTGCAAGATTAGAAGGAGCCCGTGCCTGAGCTTACCCTCTGTGGTGAGCCGTTGGAAGTAGTCAAAAAGTTTAAGTATCTGGGTAACTGTGTGAGTGCTGGTAGAGTTGTGAGCGATGATATTTCCAACCGCGTATAGAAAGCCAGAGTGGTATATGTCAATCTGGGCCACCTCTATCCCCGTCATGAAGTTAGTCTGAGCGTAAAAGGTTGGGTTTACAACGCTTCAATGCGAGCAGCTCTGCTTTACGCCTGTGAAACCTTGCCTTTCCGAGCTGAGGATGTGCAATGACTGTGTTCGATCATAGTTGTCTCCGTAGGACTGCTCGTATCCGGTGGCGACGCCATGTAAGTAATTCTGAAGTATGAAAGCATGTGTTTGGGCATGATGGAGATTGTCACTGACTAAGTAAAGTCGTCTCGAAACACTGGTTTCGGTGGGTTGGATATGTATTACGCATGTCGTCCCAACGGCTTCCATGCCGTTCATTGTTTGCTAAGTCTGGGACTGGATGGAAGAAACGGAGGGGTGGTCAATGTATGACGTGGAGCTGTGGGTGAAAGATAGTTGTATCGGGTTGGCATCCGTTGGTGCATCAACACTCCCTGGGTGAGGTCCACGAGATCACGCTTCCCACTTCCCACTTCCTCCATAATGTTGTTACATTATTTTGTGTGGCGCATTTCTTGGGGTCCTTGGTGTACCATGTTTGTGTTCACATAGTAATAATAATAATAATAATAATAATAATAATAATAATAATAATAATAATAAAACCCCTGAAAACCCTGAGAAGTATGAGCAGAATTCATCTACAGCTACTCTAAGCCAAGTCGACACTGAAGCTCTAGCTCTTGGATTTAAGTTTCACATTCCAGCGAAGCGTGTCAGTCGAATAAACACACAGACCCAGTTTGAAAACTTATACGACCAACTCTCAAATATGAAGCCTGTTGGTGAAGATAAGAGAGGATGGCTTAAGTCTACATTGGTTGACTTAGCTAACGAGTACTATGTATCACCACCTGACTTTCAGCCTATGGGTCACAAGTTCGAGACCCGCCCCACCTACCGAAGTTCAGAAAACCAGGAAGTATCATTAAGCCTCACCACATAGGTGTGGTTCACTGACTACTCCACGAATGTGCACAAGGTTGTAGAGTGCAAAAAAAACTACACCTAAAAGTAGATAACCTTATGTTCAGGGCTGATAATGGATCTAGTGTTGTAATCATGAACAAAAATGATTACGCGAATAGTGTCAACAATTCTCAGTTATCCGGTAAGATCCCAGTTGGATGACACTAAAATGGATGTTTTACTAACAACCGAAAACAAATTAGATAAACATCTTAGAGATCTAAAGAAGTTGATTGACAGTCTAATAAAATATTGAACTCAAACCAAAAGGTTTACGTCCTCGGTTCATGTATGGTGCACCCAAAATTCATAAATCTAATGTACCTATGAGACCTATTATGTCAGTGATTAATTCGCTGTGTTACAAGACGGCAAAATCGTTGGCAAAATCTTTACAGCCCAACTGGAATAAATTGCCGATCCAATTTGAAACATACACTCATCAGAGGAATAATCTATTATCCGAGGTACGTTGATAACACCTTTGTTTTTTGTAATAATATGAAACATTGGAGTGTTTTTTGACAAACTCAACGAGGCTCATCCCAACTAGGAATTTATGATGGAATATGAGCATAAAGACAAGTTCACGTTTTCGGACCTCAACGTGAGAAGAAGAACTGATGATAGGACTGAAGAGACCATCCACGGAAAAGACATTACAACAGTTTCAGTCCTGCCAGCTACAAGCGTGGGTTAGTCAAAACACTTTACAACAGAGCTAGGGAACTATGTCCTGAAAACAAGTCAGAAGAGGTAGAACTTAACTTTACTGAGAAGTGTCTCCCAGAGAATAGATATCCTAATGACGCATAGAAAAGAACGGATCGAGAGAAATAAACACACATCTATGGAAAAGAAAAACGCTTTTATACACCTCACATTCAAGCGAGATGCAGTATCCCAGCGAATAGACACAAGAATCAAAGCACTGAGAAGGAACTTTCCTGAAGCCAAACTTGTATTAGTATACAATACCACATGCTCGCTAAACCAGTTACAATTGGATAACTATCCTGCTCATTTCACTCCCAACTGCATTCATGAAGTCACACGCACTTGCGGTAGCAAGTACAGTTGAAAGACTGAGAGAAGGGCGTTCATTCGGTTCGCTGAACGTATCTAAGAGTCTGTGCTTGCAAGTAAAATCCTAACCAGTGCAATCGCGAAACACCTCGTAAACACAGGACATCAAGTTGAGACTTTGAGTGCTTAAAAAATAATTAACGTAAAGAGAATGTCTGCATTACTGCGTTTCGCGGAAGCGATTGCAGTAAAACGCTTTCAATCTGACCTTTGCATACAGAAGGACAGTGTGGTTAGTCTGTCACTCCCTTGATGAACATGATTTGATCCTGTTTTATTCTCACTCTAATTACAGAACTCTTTATTGGTTTATTGATTTTTCGTTTCTTACCTCTTCACAATTAATTCTCCCACATGTCATACAGATTATGATTTTCTTGTAAAACTTAAGATTATTCTTTTCTTGATTTTGTACTAACAACTAACGCACTTTTAGATTTTGCAGCTGAATTGAATTCGTGGAATAAAATAACATCATTTTAGTTTGTGAATTTCATCCTTCTTGCTGTATCCAAACTTATCAGGAGATCTAAATTCACATCAGTATTGTTAACCAAGAATGTGAATGAATTAAACTGAAATCTGTTAAGTACGACCATTTTAAATCCTTAATACTCATCTACAGGCTACAGTCCCTTAAGTTCCCGGACATCAGAATGAGGTTGCTCAACCGTATGGAACAAGATCCGCTGGTAACACTAAATGAAATCTCGGCATAATATCAACGACTGTCTAACCCCCAGCTTGATACGAGTTTAATCCAATCCGGATGCCAGGGTGATTCTGAAGTACATGGAGTTTGCCAGGCATCCCATTCCTCCGTATCACCCTCTGGCCATCCCTACACTGGTCCCACCTCGCCAGTTCATCGTCCCAGTTACCTACGCGATACCAACCGAAGTTCATCTACTTGGCATTTCCTCAAATCTTGTCTACATAACAACGTCAATGCCGAGATTGTAACGCTGTGGACCATAAGGACGCTTCTGTTGGCAACATACACAACGACGTGTACAAAGGTCATCCTCGAAATACAGCTGCAGATCCCATTCTCGACCGGTAGGTAAATCTTTTGGTTTGATAGCTGTTTTTCATGCTCATGTACTTGTCCGCCGAAAGCGTACCTATGTCTTATTAAACTATCGTCCAGTGCGGTTACAGATAGATATAGCATCAGATATCAGATATCTCCAACAAGCTATGGTTGAAAACAAGATGACTCCCCGTTCAGAAGACTTTTCAAGGCGGCCAGTTACTACTAATAGGGAAGATTTCATGCACAATTTCCTCCCGGAGCACTATTATAAAGGCGGTTTGCCATCTAACTTATGTAGAATTAAATCTTCTGGGTTTGGATTGGTTCGAGAGACTTGAAATATCCGATGTACCACTAAGTACAATATTTAATCAAATCCAGAACTCATGGACAACACGGATGGACACAAATCAAAATCATCAAAGTTCATCAGAAGCGCTGAGAAGGAAGCTGCGAACGAAAAATGACTCCTTAATTCCCAGGCCACTTGCAGCTAATTTACCAAAATGACCCAAAATTGTTTGAAATTGGGACACTGGTGTTTGCACGCAAACTACAGAGCGGAACAGAACGAGTGGACAGAAGGATCGATTATTAGGAGACGTGGTAAAACTATGCACGACGTTGCGGTTGGATCGGAGACTTTGACTCGGCAAAAGAACCAACTACGATGGCGCGCATATCTCGAGAAAACATAACAACCAACATGTTCCCTTCTAGATAGCCCGCTAGATACATTCAGAATACTATGCGAAAAAAATATCGAGAAAACTACTGACCCTAGTAAACAAGGAGAAACTCCCTCTGCGTCGGTCACATAGGTACAGGAAAGACTATGGTTCCACACTGACCCCAAGTAACATTATTCCAAAGCGAGAAGTGATAAGGAGATAAAGAAAAACAGACTAGTCAGTAAATGGGCTGATCAAAATGTACTTTATGTTAATCACATTCACACTTAGACTGACAAACGATCGAACACCCAATCAATATTATTATTTTAAACTCCAGACTATGTATATATTTAGTTATATTCTCTTTCGTTTACTTTCTTCGGCCTAAATACATGTTCCTACACGCTCACCGTTTTCACCACTAATTATTCAGGTTGGGAATCAACTACGGAGTTACTGAACGTTGGTGGCTAACAGTCGATATTCGTGCATCGTTAGTGGGTACAGTAGTTTGAAATAGTAATAAGTAGGATCACGAGGTGTTTCGTCCTATTTATGACTCGTCAGTTTTACCCCTATTCAACAGACCTTTATGGTGTGTTACGATTTTAACGCACAATCGTCCCAACCACCGTAGTTCATTGGGGCACTGCGATACGCAAGACCGATCACGTCAGAGTAGCAGCTGTTGGTGTAAAGAAATTTACCGGTCGACTTAGGTCCAGTGATTTTGTGAAGAGCTTTCGTTTCATCAAACATAGTGTTTATGAAATGGGCAAGCCAGGCTTCCATCTGCCTCTATGTTTTTATGATTTGCTTTTCTTTAGTTATCAAAGTGAAGTGAAAAATTTCTTGTTAAATTTCATTATGGATACTGTTTAAGCAACTTTTGTAAGCCTTTTTGATTACCTTAGAAGTAACCTTAACATAATGAACTGGAAAAAACTACAATTCGAGTTAATGACAGGAGGAAAACAGCAAATAATTAAAAACAACCTGAGCGAATGAATATTCTTTTCAATTAGCTGCTCATAATAATTAGCTGACCAACTGGACGTACCTGTAGTAAACGAAGTGTATTCCCAGGGGTATGTCCTTGATACCTTTAAAGCATTTCCCGATTTTCCAGAACTTCAAATCGATGCCCAGTTCTGTATTTTCAGGTACATCATGCAAAATCAGTTGACAAGTCATCACACGCCTCATTAGACTTTGAAATTAAGAGTTAATTATGTGACTGAAACCAAACTATTGCTATCAAGCTGTGCCTGACTGTGTATTTCGAATGGTTCTTGATGGCTGGAAATAGAAGAATTTATGTGTAGTGTTGTCTTTACGTCTTGAAACGTCAAATTATCACTTGTTTTTAAAATAAAAACCATTTTTTGATGATACCAAAGAACAAATACATACATAAAATGAAATTATCCCTCAAAGTGACGGCAGGAACAGAAAGGAAGAGAACTGATTATCTGGCGAACGCTCATCTTAGCATGTGGCAAAGAACTTACAATATTTTACTTCCTAAAAACATAGTATTCAAGTCCTCTAAAAGTCTTCCTTGATCATCAGTATAAACCAAATGCAACAAATCTATGGACGCAATTATCAATTTTGTCGACATCCGTGCAGTAACAAACATTCACTGAACACTTCTAACAACAACGTGCATCTATCCTAAAAGCAATCATATAAATCTATCAACAATTATATGCAACATATTTTAAATGTCAAGTTAATATATAGTTAAAACTGTGGCACTGTAGTAGATTGTTATTCCACTTAAGCTTGTTTATTAGACATGCCATGGTAAAACAGCTAATAAGTAAACTAAAATGGAATTCGATTGTCTCGCCACATCCCAACTGTATTGATTTAATCTATGTACCTTGTGTTACTACCATTTCTGCAAGAATTAAGAGAATAATTGGAAATACAGTATGAAATATAAATTTTTCTGTGAACAAATAAAACAACATGTATAAAATGCCTGCTATATAAAAAACGTAAATTCTCACATTTTCAATGTAAGACAATTACATATCGTTTCCGGTATACATTTCTCTGGAATGAAAAATTATTTGAACAATCCAAGAACAAAGACATTTGCAGAATAAAATGAGCTCATTTTATTTTACGCCCTTTTATAAGCTGCAGGCAACCTACAATTGCATCATCTCTTCATTAATTAACTACTCAACTAACCAAATAGCCCTCTAACGACTCCTGTCTGTTTGTTGTTCCCCCTCTCCATAGCTACAGAATTTTCTATTTCATCAGACATAAATCGCCAGTGATTTTGACTAAGGTTTTTGATTATTAATCCCATGCTTCCTCGGCTCACTGCCTTATGGTCAATCCTGGATTTCAAGTCTATTTATTTCTATATATTTAAAGTATGTTACGTCAATATTACTACTAATACTTCATTTTAATTGTAGAATGTTTGCGGCTGATGAAATGGCGTGGAATAAAATGGGTTCTCGTATTGTTCTTGTATTGCTTAAAATTTGTCAAGGGAACCAAATGTGTGACATTTCTGGAAAACTATTTTCCACACGAAATATATTTTGTTCGGATAACTTACAGTTAGACTTTCATTATTTTCGAAAAATTGAAATTGCTGAGATTTCCAATAACTGCTAGGAAAAGTATTTTACTAGTGGCATTTTAATAGCCAGGCAGTTGAGTGATCTATCCTGACATGCGAGAACATAATAAGCTGTCAACTGAATTCTCAAATCACTAAAAAAGATTAATTTACGAGGTAAGCGTAGCAAAAGTGTCAAGGTGAGTTGCTGAAACCTTGGCGCTATAGATTCCAGAGATCACATTTGATACCCAAGATGCTCACAAATTGAATGAGCTATGGCTCATTAGTCTAGAAAGTCAACTTTCAACTAATGGGTCACGGGTTCGAATGCCTCTCTATATAATGCGGTTTGTGCAGCCAGACAGTATACTACCCTTAACGCCATGATTGGTGCTTATTACTTAATGCACAAACCTGCATGTGGCTGCTGAGTTTTATATCTTCATTCACAGATTTTATAGCAGAATGAGAGCCTGGTATTACAACTTGACAGCCAGAGTCGTCATACTTTACATCGATGCAATAAAATGAGAGAAAAAACAAGTGGAAATGTGGATAACAGATACTGTAAAATACTATACGACAAACCGAACTGAGAAGAGGATGAGGTATGGGCGAATAGGCTTCACTGTAATATATCCTGACCCACATCATTTAGCATCCTCACAAGTGCCACGTATGGCCGAAGGTGGGATGATCTTGATGATTCTCCTGGAACGCTAGTACGACCACGCGTTTATGGCCTCTGAAGGGCAGTTCTACTCATTGCCTTCACATGGTGGTGTTTCCACAAAATTGAAAGAGCGAAAGCAAACGTTTGGCGATACCGTAGAATTGGTGAACACGGTGGGTACATAACAGAAATATATGCCTTTATCATTATCATCTATAGACAACATAACAAATTACTACTTAGACAGTCGATAGCTTGTACAGGTTTTATCCTCTGAAGAGGCGATTTCCACGAAGTCAAGAAACGCCAGAAATTTATTTTCCCACTTTAATGAGATTTCACAAATGTATTACATTTATAACGCATAAGGTTGGAAAACACTGATTACAAACCGGTGGCACATGTTTGCTACAAGAATGACTGGTGTTTGAACCAAACTTCATCAACTGCAACCGTTGGAATGGAGCTACTCACGTTCATCCGCTGGCGTATGGATCAGACTCCAACTCAAAGGCTCGGGAAGTTATCCTCTAAAACAGCCACATGCTTCGGTCTGGGCTTCCGAGTGGTTTCACGGGCCACGAATAATTTACAAATTAGAGTTAATGATGAAGAACACAAGGTCCTGACCGAATCATCCTGTGACGAACCCTCTACTCAGTTATTTAATATATCATCGTTCTGTCGCTGTTACTTCTACATATGAACCATTCTATCTCTGCGTGATGATTTTCCAGTTTATCCTTGTGTGCAATTTTATTTCACTCGTCTACTCTCCACTGACTGAAATTCAGGTCTATCTATATATATCGGGTGGATTCGGAAAGCGGTCCCTTTCAGAAAGCTGTTCTTCAACGCGATATATTTTGTATCTATTCAGAAACCCCATGCACCGTTTTAGCTATCCACTTTCAACGTTCTAACCTGGATGCAAATCGAAGAACAGGTAGCTTATACTAGGTGAGATTTCAGAAAGCCTGGTTATAAATGCGTGCCTCAGAGACTCGTGCACAAGATCCCAGTGGGATGTTGTAAATAACTTCCCTACCTATCAGTTCAAAAAGTGTATCCTTAGTGCGCTTATCTAGAACCCTGTGGTATCAGCAATCGACCTTCCCAGTGTTCTTTCTGAGCTAAGCTCCAGAATTGAAGCTGCACTGGTTAACTGTGTTCGGCTAGAAGGTTTGATTAGAGTGAGAAGCATCTGGTCAGGGAAACGATATCTCTTTATCACCTCTACCTACATCCCGACTGACTGAACCCGAGGTGCAGTAAAGGATAAGTTCTATAATCAATTGAGTGGCCTTTTCCATGAAGTGCATTCGATGGATATCGTAGTGCAAACTGGGGACAGTCTATAGATCTATCATTCGGGGTCAGATGAGGTCATTTTAGGTGACCAATGGAAATTCCCTGGTCGCAGGTCAGACAATGAAGAACATCTTCTGCAGCTCTGCGTAGATTACAACCAACTTCTGGCCACGTTCAACTTCCAGTACAGATATTGACACTGTGCTAACTAGCGTCTTTTGTCTTCCACTTAAGCTGGGACTCAAACAGATTATGATGCAATCGACTTGTGATGAGGTGGTTGTATGCAGGACTGCCACTCCTTTTGGAGCACCTATCCGAACTCTGATTACGCATCAGTGTGTGCTAGATTCGTCTTGTGTTTTAATGTTCATCAGAGTCCTCGGTCTGAACGGGTCAACTTAAGCGAATTGGTCACAACTAGTGTCCCAACTGCACATCAAACGGAGTTATATTCAAGGTAGGTGGCCAAAACCTCCAGAAAGTATCGACCAGCACTGATCGTACTCACAAGGTGTCATGAAAATGGCGATTAACGTGGCTTGTGGTCTTGAGGAACGTCTCATCATCAAACACTGGGTCTCTTCGAGTTCCTTGCAACTTTTTGACGCGTGCTGGCAGGTAGAGAGTGCGCGTAAGAAGGACGAGGCTTCATGTAATATTCTTAGAACGATGATTATAAAAGCAGGACTGAACAAGAAGATTAGTACACTTTTCTTTGACTTCATGTTTGCTTCCTTGATAATTTCATTGAAGAAGCATCAGAATTGTTTTTCAAACACGCTGAGGTTTAGTTATCAAGTGTCAGTTAGCAGGAAGTACTTGACCTGATGCTTGTGCCTGTTGTCACTCTTCATCACGTCTCATCTGCAACCACGAGGAAACTGGTGTTCCCCATGGATTAAAACCTGAGTAGCTCAGCGCTGAAGGGAGAGGCTTTGTCGTCAAGCTACTCAGGACCAAATTGTGCGTGAACAAGTCACCAACAATTGTACTCCCAGATGGTTACTTTCCCTGTACCGATCTTCAGGTTATGCAAAACATTTAATTAAATACAAGATTTTCGCACACTGTCTGAGTTAAAGTACTCCTTTTCTGCAGCAGCTTCTGAGTTATCCTTGATAAAAATGAGCATTTTAATAATAATTACTGCATATCTTAATGAAGTAACGAGTTCGCTCGGTCGAATTCCATCGAGCTGCATATCATTTTAGCTATGGACTTTCAGAACTAAACCTAATGGCGACTAAAAACACTTTATAGATACCTAAATCACATAGGAATTCAACAGAGATAATCCATGTTCGCATGAAAACTCAAACAGAACAAGCAAAGTAGACATGCGCCTCGCTTGGTTAACTAGTTCACTAGCTACCAGACGGTCCTAAGCCCGGGGAAAGAGGAAAGGTTGGGCATAGGGCTAGCAACCCTAACCCGTAAAACAAATCTAACCGCCAAAGGAACTTCAAAGTGCAAACAAAATATAAAAAACAAAAACAAACTTATTCCTCACTGGAATCGGAGAGACGAAATGACGCCGGTTGGTAAAAGCCTTCAGGAAGTCAATTGGCCGATGTGTCTTCTCTCGACGAAAACAAGCAAAAGTAACATGGGGACATGGAATGTCCTCACCATGTTTGAACCCAGCAAGGCAGCCCACATTGCAAACGAGATGAGAAGGTATCACGCTGAAGTGCTTGGAATTTGTGAAAGCAGATGGAATGGGAGTGGACTCTCCAAACTGTCATCTGGAGGGTAATAATCTACTCCGATATTGTCACCCAGACGACAACCACGAGCACAGCACACTGGGTTTTGGAGTGGCTATCATGATGTCCCCAAGCGCATCGAAGGCTCTCTCTCATGCAGTGGGAACCAATCTCCTCCAGGATCATGACAGCAAGCTTCAACTCAAAAGGAAGGAAGGTCACAATCATACAATGCTACCTGACGCACCTACAAATAATGCACATGAAGAGAAGGAGGATGAATTCTACAGACAACTTCAATCAACACTGGACAAGACCTCAGTTGGCGATATCAAAATTCTAATGGGCGACATGAATGCCAAACTGGGAGCGGACAACACAGGAAGAGAACTAACCACGGGTCGAGAAGCACTAGGTGAAATGAACGAGAATGGAGAATTGTTTGCAGAATTCTGTGCATTCAACGATTCGGTGATTGCAGTGAGGCAGTGTGTTCAAGCACAAGGATATCTACAAAGCAGCGACATGGATCTCACCAGACACCAGGACACACTACACTAAAAATCAGATCGACTTTATCTCAATCTGAAGACAGTGGAGACGCAGTCTACTTGACACAAGGTCAAGAAGAGGAGCAGATGTAGGTTCACACCACTCACTATCTACTGCAAGGAACCTACCTTCCAAATCAAGTTAAAAGCCTTCAAGGAAGTTGGTGATAGACCTCAGTTCAAGTACAACACTCGGAAACTGAAGGATGAAACTACAAAGGAGATCTTCACGGCAGCCATCAAGACAAAATGCGAGATATCGAGGAACATCTCTGAAGAAACCTGTGTGGATGAACACTGGAACTCTTTGAAAGCTATGTTGAAAGAAACCCGCATAACCGTATTAGGTAGGGAGAATAAAGAAGATAAGGAATGGATCTCGATGGACACATGGAAGCTGATAGAGCAGGGAGAGTAAGATGGTGATGATGATGGTGAAGCAGAAGATGAACCAGTGCAAGGATGCGCAACGAGAAGAGGAACTGAGTACAATGTATAAAACACTACGCCGGACAAAGAAGTGAAGAATAGTGCGTGGAAAGACAAAAGACACTTCCATGAAACACTGGCAAGTGAAGCAGAACAGGCTGCAGGTAGGAGAGATAGAGACCTGACAACATTGTATCAAATAACCAGGTTACTATCTGGGAAGAGATCAACACAGACGAAACCAATAAAAGATGATGAATGAAATCCAATTACCAAAGAAGAGAAACAAAGGAAACAATGGGCCGACCACTTCGAAAAGCTCTTGAATCGACTACCACCACCACCACCTGCACTTCGTCCAGAAATACCACCTGCAGCCGCTGAACTACAAGTGAACATAAATCCTCCAACAAAAGTGGGAGTCCTGAACGCCATAAAGCTACTGAAATGCTGGAAAGCAGCAAGACCAGATGGGATCCCACCAAAAGCACTGAGAGCAGACGCAGAGACAACAGCGGACATGCTCACACCACTATTGCAGAATGACTGGAAGCAAGGGACGGTACCTGGTTAGTGATTGAAAGAAGGGTTACCTTGTCAAACTGCCGAAGAAGGGAGACCTCAGTGTTTGCAAGAACTGGCGCGGAATCACTCTCCTGTCCACTACAAGCAAAATATTAGGCTGCGTCATCCTGGAGAGGCTAAAGGATGCATTGGATTCAAAACTACGACCGGGACAGGCTGGCAGGCTTCAGAAAGTACAAATTATATGTGGACCAAATTGCAACGCTGCGCCACGCATCATCATAGAACGGAATATAGAATGACAGTCAACTCAACTCTACCTCCACTTCATCGACTTTGAGAAGGCCTTTGACAGCGTCGACCGAGAGGTAATTTGGAAACTGCTTCATTACTACGGAGTACCGCAGACCCTTTTCAGCCTCACTCAACAACTATATGAAGACGCCACATGCCAGCCAAGTAATTCACAATGGGAAGCTCAGTGATGCTTTTGAAGTGGAGACAGGAGTGAAACAAGGCTGCCTACTATTACCCATGATATTCCTGATTGTAGTGGACTGGATCATGAAACAAACAGTGAGGAGCGAGAAGAGGAGGATACGTTAGCTGGACCGCGGAAAAGAACCTAGAAGACTTTGATTTCGCCGATGACTTGTGTCTGATGTCGCATTGACTGGAGGATCTACGAGCGGAAACTAACAAGTTGGCAGAGGAGGCAGCGAAAACGAGATTTGAAGTGAATATAGAGAAGACAGAGGTGATGAAGATACTCAACCAACAACAACAACAACAAACTCCGATCACCATCAACGGGAGAAACTTGAAGGAAGTAGCCTCCTTCACCTATCTAGACAGCACTGTTTCAACTACAGACGCGGCACAGACGAGGATGTCAAAGCCAGGCAGGATCGGAAAAGCAAGACAGGCGTTCATTAGTCTGAAACCAGTGTGGAGATCTGCACACAGCATGGGGAACAATATCCGGATTTTCAACACCAACGTCAAGTCAGTGCTTCTGTATGGTTCAGAGACTTGTCGCGTTACGAAAAGGATTTCCAATAAACTACAGACATTCATCAACAACTGTCTACGCTGGCTCCTTACTGAAGATCAGATGGCCAGAATAATAAGAATAAGCAACAAGGAACTCTGGCTGGCTGGTGACGAACCAACTAGGAAGCTTTCGCTCAACAAATATGTAGAAGGAAGTGGAGATGGATTGGGCATCCACTGAGAAAGCCGACTGGGGACATCACGCGTCAGGCCATCGAGTTGAACCCCGATGGGAAGTGACGAGTTGGGCGTCCGAGGGCGACGTTGAGGAAATCATGCGATGAGGAAATGAGAGCTTGTGAGCTGTTGTGGATCCAGGTTCAAAAGATTTCAACGAACGGAGTTCACTGGAGACGTGCTACTAGAGCCCTATGTTCCATTAGGAACCCAAGGGACAAATAATAATAATAATCTATATAACTTTCCAAGCAAGCCATTTCTATCCTTTATTCTAAAATATGTTTGAGAAATATCTCTGAACAAATGAACAAACATCTACACACTGAATATCATCGAGTAGCTTCTGATCAGATGACATGTATGGTTGCTGTTTTGCACAAACTATCTGAAAAAACAAAGTAATATGATATGCTAATGTTGAAATGTTGGTTCTAGATAACCTTCAGTGACTGCGCAGAACGATAGCTGACGATGAAAATGTGTTATGCTGATTGATAAGAGATTTATAGATAAGATTAATTTCTGCATGTATTAATGTGCTAGCTACATCATCATCAATATCAACATAGGATCAGGCATTACTGCGTAATGGTCAGAGTCGCCACAGTCCATATCAGTACATCAGGTAAAAAGGCAGTGAAGTGCAAGATGAAGATAAGAAAATCCAGTCAAAAGAAATAAAAAGTACGAAGAGGAAGAAAGGAAGAATGAGAAAATGGTCAGATTAGGTATAGAGTCTTTAAGAGTAGGATAACGTGTGTCTACAACTGCACCACTGACATCGGTTCTGAGCTTTATCACCTACAGTCTCCAACGCTAGATAGATAAAGGAAATTGCATCATTCACCTGATATCCCCCTATATCTTGCTATTAATAGGCTATTAATTTAACGTATTTTCAGTGTAACTACCTGATATAGGCGCGGTTTGGTGAACTGTGATTTTCTGTCGAACTCATATTATCGACTCAGGTTGATTACGACGAACTAACAATTATGTCCCACAAGTTCACATAGCACCCAGCCCAAACTCTTGGTGATAGAAGTAAATTTAGGATTTGGTCGGGAGGTGGGAATCGTAATTCAGTTGCCATAGTATCAGGCCGGTAACCCACAGGCGGCTGATTCAAATCATGCCACGGCATCGGTTTTCACTCTCCTTTCAATCATCACCTTCTGTCAAAAAAGAATCATAACAAAAATTAGAGTTTGTTATATAAGATAACTTTTTATGAAGTAACCAACAATGAAAAACTCCAATTCTCCCATCTGATAAGCTTGTATAAAACATCGGGCGATAATCAAACTACCGTCTTCACAACTGGATATCTTTCATGATTAGAAAACTTATTTTTGACAGTAGATATATATCCCAAGAATTATTTTCATACTGTTTCTAAAATATCACGATTCAACAAAGAATATTTCATGAGTTTCATGAAGAAAGCATGCACCATTCACCATGTTTATTTCGAAATCTTTGAATGGATAAAAGACCATTTTAAAAAAAGAAGTCTTTTGCAATCCAGAAAATGTATCCATTATTAAAGAGATTATTCATCAGATAAAAAAATCAGGAGTATAAAAATATGTTTTCTTTAACACTCATCAGTTTGCATGCAAAGATTTAATAGATTTTAACAAATTACAAGGTCAGTTAAAATTTATTTTTTGTTTGTTGAACAAAGTATTACTGATATATCTACATGAAGTAAATAATTATTTCTTCCAGTGACACTCTTCAATCATTCTATCATACACATTTTTTTAAACTATCCATCCATATTTTTTTGGACAGTTAGCTCCGAAAATTAACCATTTAAAGGTAATTTTTGAATTAGAGGCATCAAATGTTTCTTAATTAACTGTAACAGATTATAATATTTACAAACTCAATAAATAAATTGAAAAATCTTCAAGGCTTCTTGGTATGCTGGAAACTGTTCTTCAGTTATTATCTATTGTCTAAGAATAATTGAACAGAAGAAATGTATTACAGTGATGTAGACTAGATCATAAAGGAGAATAGGACAAATAAAATTAAAACTTAACAAAAACTCCATGAATGACACTAAGTTGGAATTGGCTTGTCAGCTCGATATTAGATAGCAGTCAATATAACTCCTGATTGGTAATATGCTAACACCTAAATACGGATGTAGCAGAAATACCCTGATGATAAAAAGGTTTTGTCTCATAAAACGACTTCATCAATGTATTATTGATGGGTAGTGTCTATCAATGAAATCCAGGACGCGCATTCCGTCCTATTTGGGACTCGACAACTAGATGTACCCGCCTCCCAGTGAGCGATGTTGTTCACATCAAGGTTCGCATTCGAGACGGATCTCTTCAAATGCCAGAGCGTTACCTACTAGACCAGCGAGTCACAATGCAAGCAGTAACAATAATTTTATGAGTGGTTTGCAAAGCAAGATAAGTTTCACATATTTTTGAGGAATACGATGCCATTCAAATCAAACAAGCCAGAACCATTTTGGCTAATGTGCGGTAGACGTATCTCATAAACCGATGCATAAATAATTTCAAGAGAAATATACTTAACCCGTATCACCTAGAATTCCATAGATCTGCCATTAGCACACATGCAGTATATTTGTACTGTAGAGGTATGTAGCTGACATCTAGCATTACTTCTAATTCGGAATAAACTGTTAAATACTTATAACTTGCATTCGGCGAAATATAAGATTGCATAGCTATGTATAACCGCGAACTTATATTGTAGACATACATGCTCGATTCTTAAAGTAATAATAGCTATTATTTCAGCGTCAATTTATCAGCGCCAAAATAAGTAACAAAATCGTTGTTCATATATATCATCATTCCCAAACTTACATGAACGTGGAAATTTCAAACGCTTGATTCTGAACGTCTGTAAAGTGATAAAGAAATGGTGATAAGAGTTTTGTCAATTATTTGGTGAAATGAAATGTAAATGGGCAATATTTCAGCTTTAAAAAAATGCATGATATCAGTGTAAACTGAACAGTCCCAGCATTAACATGCTTGACAAGGATCATCATCAGTCCCAGTTATTTTTTGAATAGGGACACTTATGGGACACCAAAAATATTGAATAGGATTACGACAGCTGTTGCAACGTCAGTCAAGAATATTTTGGATACGCAGAATTATTTCCTTAGATTGAGGCGAAGATCAAAACTTTAAAGAATAGTACTGATGGTTGAGCTCAAACATTTATGCATATAAAAATAAGGCGAGGTTATTCTCGACTGAATTAAAATGATTTACTTTCGCACTATCATCTGAAGGTAGGAAAAGGAAGTTCTGAAATCAACTTTCCAACTGTGGTTAACTAATCGAAAACATACTAGAATTTTGTTTTAAAAATCATACTACACTAAATTCATTTATTATAAATGTATTGATTCACTTGGGATTCGCAACGAAAGTCAAAAACCATTTATCCATTCATTAAATTTGGAATTTTGGCATAAAAACTAAGTACAGTAATCACTAACAGAGCGCAACCTCGTGTCAAATAGGTGGGAAACTGAACCGTTATCAAACAGTTCAAGTAATGACATTCAGAATATCCTATGAAAATAATTAGGTAACTTCTCTACTGCCACTGTCACATTATACCTGATGCCTTGTCCAACTCATAACTTACTTGTTAGCGAGAAGGAATATTGATGTTAACCTACAAATGGTTAGCTATGTGGACGCCATGTGTAAACCGTCCATTTAGCCTTTTAATGTCAGTATAAAATTTTATCGACGGTACCTAGATTCCATGTTTGTAAGCATTCACCGGCAAATTTTCATGACATACACGAGAGAATTGGTATTTCATCCTCCTCGTGAATTATATCCCGAAGAATTCAAACCAATCAAAATTATTCTCCTAAACTACAAATACTCCCCATCATCTCAAAGTCCTAGCCTCGCCTCGTTGACCAGTTCACTAGTTACCAGACGGTCCTAAGCCCGGGGAAAGAGGAAAGGTTGGGCATAGGGCTAGCAACCCTAACCCGTAAAACAAATCTAACCGCCAAAGGAACTTCAAAGTGCAAACAAAATATAAAAAACAAAAACAAACTTATTCCTCACTGGAATCGGAGAGACGAAATGACGCCGGTTGGTAAAAGCCTTCAGGAAGTCAATTGGCCGATGTGTCTTCTCTCGACAAAAACAAGCAAAAGTAAACATGGGGACATGGAATGTCCTCACCATGTTTGAACCCAGCAAGGCAGCCCACATTGCAAACGAGATGAGAAGGTATCACGCTGAAGTGCTTGGAATTTGTGAAAGCAGATGGAATGGGAGTGGACTCTCCAAACTGTCATCTGGAGGGTAATAATCTACTCCGATATTGTCACCCAGACGACAACCACGAGCACAGCACACTGGGTTTGGAGTGGCTATCATGATGTCCCCAAGCGCATCGAAGGCTCTCTCTCATGCAGTGGGAACCAATCTCCTCCAGGATCATGACAGCAAGCTTCAACTCAAAAGGAAGGAAGGTCACAATCATACAATGCTACCTGACGCACCTACAAATAATGCACATGAAGAGAAGGAGGATGAATTCTACAGACAACTTCAATCAACACTGGACAAGACCTCAGTTGGCGATATCAAAATTCTAATGGGCGACATGAATGCCAAACTGGGAGCGGACAACACAGGAAGAGAACTAACCACGGGTCGAGAAGCACTAGGTGAAATGAACGAGAATGGAGAATTGTTTGCAGAATTCTGTGCATTCAACGATTCGGTGATTGCAGTGAGGCAGTGTGTTCAAGCACAAGGATATCTACAAAGCAGCGACATGGATCTCACCAGACACCAGGACACACTACACTAAAAATCAGATCGACTTTATCTCAATCTGAAGACAGTGGAGACGCAGTCTACTTGACACAAGGTCAAGAAGAGGAGCAGATGTAGGTTCACACCACTCACTATCTACTGCAAGGAACCTACCTTCCAAATCAAGTTAAAAGCCTTCAAGGAAGTTGGTGATAGACCTCAGTTCAAGTACAACACTCGGAAACTGAAGGATGAAACTACAAAGGAGATCTTCACGGCAGCCATCAAGACAAAATGCGAGATATCGAGGAACATCTCTGAAGAAACCTGTGTGGATGAACACTGGAACTCTTTGAAAGCTATGTTGAAAGAAACCCGCATAACCGTATTAGGTAGGGAGAATAAAGAAGATAAGGAATGGATCTCGATGGACACATGGAAGCTGATAGAGCAGGGAGAGTAAGATGGTGATGATGATGGTGAAGCAGAAGATGAACCAGTGCAAGGATGCGCAACGAGAAGAGGAACTGAGTACAATGTATAAAACACTACGCCGGACAAAGAAGTGAAGAATAGTGCGTGGAAAGACAAAAGACACTTCCATGAAACACTGGCAAGTGAAGCAGAACAGGCTGCAGGTAGGAGAGATAGAGACCTGACAACATTGTATCAAATAACCAGGTTACTATCTGGGAAGAGATCAACACAGACGAAACCAATAAAAGATGATGAATGAAATCCAATTACCAAAGAAGAGAAACAAAGGAAACAATGGGCCGACCACTTCGAAAAGCTCTTGAATCGACTACCACCACCACCACCTGCACTTCGTCCAGAAATACCACCTGCAGCCGCTGAACTACAAGTGAACATAAATCCTCCAACAAAAGTGGGAGTCCTGAACGCCATAAAGCTACTGAAATGCTGGAAAGCAGCAAGACCAGATGGGATCCCACCAAAAGCACTGAGAGCAGACGCAGAGACAACAGCGGACATGCTCACACCACTATTGCAGAATGACTGGAAGCAAGGGACGGTACCTGGTTAGTGATTGAAAGAAGGGTTACCTTGTCAAACTGCCGAAGAAGGGAGACCTCAGTGTTTGCAAGAACTGGCGCGGAATCACTCTCCTGTCCACTACAAGCAAAATATTAGGCTGCGTCATCCTGGAGAGGCTAAAGGATGCATTGGATTCAAAACTACGACCGGGACAGGCTGGCAGGCTTCAGAAAGTACAAATTATATGTGGACCAAATTGCAACGCTGCGCCACGCATCATCATAGAACGGAATATAGAATGACAGTCAACTCAACTCTACCTCCACTTCATCGACTTTGAGAAGGCCTTTGACAGCGTCGACCGAGAGGTAATTTGGAAACTGCTTCATTACTACGGAGTACCGCAGACCCTTTTCAGCCTCACTCAACAACTATATGAAGACGCCACATGCCAGCCAAGTAATTCACAATGGGAAGCTCAGTGATGCTTTTGAAGTGGAGACAGGAGTGAAACAAGGCTGCCTACTATTACCCATGATATTCCTGATTGTAGTGGACTGGATCATGAAACAAACAGTGAGGAGCGAGAAGAGGAGGATACGTTAGCTGGACCGCGGAAAAGAACCTAGAAGACTTTGATTTCGCCGATGACTTGTGTCTGATGTCGCATTGACTGGAGGATCTACGAGCGGAAACTAACAAGTTGGCAGAGGAGGCAGCGAAAACGAGATTTGAAGTGAATATAGAGAAGACAGAGGTGATGAAGATACTCAACCAACAACAACAACAACAAACTCCGATCACCATCAACGGGAGAAACTTGAAGGAAGTAGCCTCCTTCACCTATCTAGACAGCACTGTTTCAACTACAGACGCGGCACAGACGAGGATGTCAAAGCCAGGCAGGATCGGAAAAGCAAGACAGGCGTTCATTAGTCTGAAACCAGTGTGGAGACCTGCACACAGCATGGGGAACAATATCCGGATTTTCAACACCAACGTCAAGTCAGTGCTTCTGTATGGTTCAGAGACTTGTCGCGTTACGAAAAGGATTTCCAATAAACTACAGACATTCATCAACAACTGTCTACGCTGGCTCCTTACTGAAGATCAGATGGCCAGAATAATAAGAATAAGCAACAAGGAACTCTGGCTGGCTGGTGACGAACCAACTAGGAAGCTTTCGCTCAACAAATATGTAGAAGGAAGTGGAGATGGATTGGGCATCCACTGAGAAAGCCGACTGGGGACATCACGCGTCAGGCCATCGAGTTGAACCCCGATGGGAAGTGACGAGTTGGGTGTCCGAGAGTGACGTTGAGGAAATCATGCGATGAGGAAATGAGAGCTTGTGGGCTGTTGTGGATCCAGGTTCAAAAGATTTCGGCGAACAGAGTTCACTGGAGACGTGCTACTAGAGCCCTATGTTCCATTAGGAACCCAAGGGACTAATAATAAGGATAATAATAATAATAATAATAATAATAATAATAATAATAATAATAATATTAATAATAATAATCTCAAAGTCGTCATTGTACATCATGAAGAAATATTTGTTTATTATAATGCTTAAACAAATTTTTATGTCAGTTAGCAAGTATATGGAGAATAGACGAAGAACTAAGCAACAAGTTTATACTTTCACAGTTCACAAACTTTTTGTCCACATACAAGCTTCTACTGAGTGAGATGATAGTTTTGCACTGACAGATTCCACACAAGTCAGGCAACAAAACTTAGTAGGAAGAAGTTTCATAGCACTTCACAGTACACCGTGATAATTATAAACGATATAACCACATGCAGTTAGTGTGAAATAGTAGAAAGTGATAGTAATTTTGCAAACACATTCTCCAGCCAGCCAGTAGCCATAACTGTATTCCTACTCTGCACTTGTATCTAACCGTTTCCCTGGGTTTTCTTAATTTTACTACTCATAAAATTTTCATTTAACGCTTACGCAAAGATTTTTGAAAAACCTAAACTCAACACTAAACACAGAGTTCATTCATTGACAATTGTGTTTCCTTACTGATGAATGTATACAGATTGACGGATAGATAATTCCACTTTTATATGCGTACTATAGACTGAGTTTAGAGATGCTGTATAGATTGCATAACACTTAAAATATTACCAGTCTTTATCTTAAGCAGGAAGTGACCAGAAGTTTTCAGGGGTGTAAGCCAAATCAGTGTCATCCGACACACACTAAAAATGACTGACCAAGAAGAGCTGTACATCCGTGTATTCAGAGATAAATCTGATATTGATTAGGCGGAAAACAACTCATACACCTATTAAACTGCTTGTAGTAACCAACTACTCATCGCTTTTTAACATATTTTCAAAGATTTAGTGAATGTCAGGTTCAAAACTGAATGAGACAACAAGCAGTGCATCACAACCTATCTTTATGTGTAATTTGTAGCTTGAATAAACGTGAACTTCAAAGCTTAGGATGGTAACCGCATACTAAGTGCAGTTTGTTTTGAAGTGGTAATGAGTTAGTATAGGAAATATGAAAGATAATGACATCATTCATTAAATTTGGGATTTTGGCATAAAAACTAAGTACAGTAATCACTAACGGAGCGAAACTTTGTGTCATGTACGCGTTAGAAAATGACTATTCATTTACATTTATTTGTCGCAAACATATAATAAATAAATAAAAAGATTGAATATTTCAACCATACCGATTCATTCTAATTATTGCACCCATCATAATGAAGAAAGTCATCAAACAAAATCCACCGAATGCGTATACTGTAACATGAAACCAGTATCTGCTACCGTGAACCAAACGATAAATTGTTCTCAGTGCATCTAAGTCAACATTAACTTCCTGAAAATTTGATTCATAAATAACGTATGGTTAATTTCGAGTGTCAGACAACCAAACAGTAATTATAAAGATGTAAATTGAAAAAAACCGAGACAAAAACATTGTTTTCTGGATGCCAGACGACACTTGAATTTCTTCCAAATACTTCTACCAATCAGATTTGAACTACATTTCCATGCCGGCGTATTATAAGTTGACAGTTTGTCTTGATTGTCACTCATACACATAGCCTCTGTGAGACCATAATTATGATGATGACATTTCTCGGCATGACTTTGTGATTTCTATTCATCAAGTTTTCGGGGATCACCCTAACTTAAAAATTAGAAAACACCGTCGTAAACTGAATTGTATCATCAGAATGTGTCAATTTTTCCAGCTGCTGAAATGTGAAGGTGTCATACCACTCACTTAACAGACTTATCGTATTCACAGCTTTAATGAAATCTTTAAGTATTAGGCGGTGTTCAGTTAAGAATATACAGGCGGTCTTCACGTAAGAAACAGCCATAATTTATTCTTATACATTATGAAAGGAAGTAGTGTCTTGAGAGCTCCTAACGTCATCATTACATATTTAATCGCTTTCAACATTCACGTATGATCTATATATCGTGCTGATTGACACATTAGGTTAACTTATAGTTACATAATGTTACCTTCGTAGTTTTACAAAATATGTGGAATACTTAAAAGCAACATCATCAAAATAACCTCTTCATAGTGGTACTAAATTCCGTTCACTTTAATAGTTGTTGTCAACACTTTTGAAAAGTTACGCATACCAAGGATGTTATAATACTGTCAACATATTGATTTTTCTTAAAATTGAAAAGCCAGAAAGGGGAGTGACTGAGTGAGGGGGGATTGGATTTCGTAAACTTGGATAGTGTATTATCATTAAGAACAACAAATAGCTGTATATTGGCTACATTTTGCAGATCCTCATCATCTGCTTACAAGCTAAGCAACATCAAAATGTAAGCATGATAAAAGAAAACATACATATTTTTCCCATACTGACAAGAAACCATAGAAGAAAATGTAAGGTTAAGTCGATCAAGGTTAGTATAAACCAGGTGAAGTGAAGAAAATTGCCAAGATATCCTGAGAACCTTAGAAATAAGGGATGGATTATCTGAACATTTTGAAAAATTGACCTTTAAGAGGGAATTTAGACAATAATTTACTCAAACCGTGCGTTTGGTGTGATTAACTACCTCATCTTAAATACCAGTGAACGTAAATTAGTTTGAATCACTCGACAATTTCACTGATTCTGGTGACGCTTTGCTCTCTCAAGGAGCTTCCATTGTCATCCTAGACAAGATCATCAGCTCAAAATTGAGAAGGCTTATTCTGATGAGTATTTTTTTTCAACTCTAACATCTTTTTCTCAACCAACAAATGCTTAATATCAAGTTCATCCTTTGCTCAGTAGCAAAAGATCAGTGGAGAAGAGGAATATTTCATACAGCAGATATATCCCTAATATACCTGAGATATCGTTTCATTGATTATGAACATTATTTAGATGTATTCCAAGATATCCATGAAAATGTAAGTTGTAATCATGTCCAAAGAGGTTTGAATAACTTCACTGAATTTAAGAAATTGGATTTTTCTGAAGTCACTTTGTCTTTCCTCACAACAAATTTGTATGAGGTTTATAATTTCATGATCTGTTAAGGAATAGTATCTGATTTCGATGGTTAATTCTAATAACCATTTGCAAATTTGTACAGAACATGCAGTAAAGTAATGAATCTGTCAAAATGTAAATCTGTTTCAAAATTTGTGCAGTTATTACTTCCCCGCTAATAAACAGGTAACTAAGGATTAATAGCAATAATGTGGTAAGAACCTCATATTGTTGTATCTTTAAAAACCATAAAATTGCCACAGCCCAGATCAATCAATGTAGGTGCTTCTGTTAACTAGTCTTTTCGTAATCCATCCATCTACTCAGTAGATCTTATTTCTTTCCAAAACATTAGTTCAAATTGTTGATAAACTCTATTGATGAATACATTCTACCATGTCAACCCACGTGTATTTATCCATCATGACGAAATCAGAAATTTTACTCATTTGGTAAATAATAACAATTTGATTTTGTTCTTTATCTTTTACCGCTCTTCGGTAATCTTTAGACAGAGATGTAGACGACGAACTGTCAGTATGAAAGAGCGTAGACTTCGACAAATCACACTTTTGTTTTTCTGTAGGTCTCGACTCAGGTATTTGACAAAAATTTTGGAACAATCTTAATATTAATTTTACCGATAAATTTTGATTGCAATTGAAATGTGAATGTAAAGGAGAGTTAGTAATCATCAACTCAACTCGTTTATTTTAGCTGAACTAGTGGTACAAATGCTTTTTAGAAAGTCCTTCACATGGTTGTTCTTTTATTAGAATTACTTTGATGTGACTATGGGTAATAATCTACGCTCAGAATGTCATCAAGCAAATGCAGCAGTATCACTGCGTTATGACAAATAAAAAATCGTAACAGTCACTGCCTGTTTTACCTGTAAGGATGGCACAGATATATTCATCTTCATTTGACGATCTGTTTACAGTAGATACCACGTAATTTATATCACTCCCATTAGGTTGGTTAATGCTTTTCTCAGATGTGAAATCGTTCAAACTGACATAATATTTTACTCAGAAAAAGGTCAGATGTGTGATAAATGTTTGAATAATGCACTTAAAAGTTGTACTTCTTACGAAAGGAAGGAATCTTGTAGTCAGTTATGAATATGAATCATCCTGTTGATAGATTGAGAAATTAGAGATCCACTACGACGACAAAATTATGCTCATGGGAGAAATTCTAAGTAATCAATGTTTTCAATGAGATGGTTTTAATCCTGTTAAGTAAATACCTCACGGTTAAGTGAATATATCTGTTTTGTCATCCATCCATCAATAAACATTTATGTATATAGCAAGTTTATGTATACACCTGAATATGACTCACATTCACAATTCTTATGAGTGGAAAGAAAACGGGACCGTTCATCGACCTAAACATCATGCTCCTGAAACATACCATTATTAGAATACAGAAGAAAACGTTAACTAAATCCCAAATTTTACAAAACAAATGTCTATCACATGCATTTATTCAAAGTAGAATGAAGAGATTGCGAAGCGGCGCAGAAAAAAATAATTTATAGAAATACTGATACTAATATCCCGTTGTCAATAGTTATGCGAAAGTATGAATAAAACCGTGTTTAAACAATCAAACAACCAGACTTTTTGTTCTGTAACACTTACTTTACGGCTAACTGAATGAGATTATTTTCTCACTGAGTCATATTGAATGATACTGTTTACTTTCTTCCATTCAACAGGGTTAAACGGAATTAACGTCCAAGTAAATATGCTCCTCAGTAATGCATTTAGATTGATGATGCAAGATGATATTTGCAGGTCAGCTAAAAACCTGATTCTGAGGGGGTGAAAGTATAACATGCATCAGTAAGCTACTGTTTTGTAGGTAGGTTTTATTCAAGACTGTATAGGTTCTCAAAGTCTTTTATTTAGACGCCGAACTATGTTAAAAGATATCTTTGGGTTAATTAGACAAGGGCTTACAATCAGATTGTTTGGGAGAAATAGTCAGCAGAGATCAAGTGGTAGGATTATCGTTTCACTCACACAAAGTAGAAGAATTATTGTCAACTAATCAAACAGATTTTATCAACTTAGCTGATTCAAGTTTGCAAACACACTCTCATCGCAATACATCTCTCAGTGCTTACGAAACATTGACTGTACGGTAATATTTTGCAGCAGAAATTCAACCGAAAAAGCATTCATCATCTTGTCTTGTCGCCCTTAATCACTATAGCATCCAAGCTATTTTTAAGCATTCGCAATGGGAAACAATGTAGCTTTTCAGAATAAAATGGTAGATGTGTAGGCTGCAGATATGTACTACTTGGCTAGTTGGCTAGTTTAGCACATAAGTGTACCACAGTATTGAGTCAATAGGTCTGGGGATTACATCACACTGTTGGCCGACAAAATTGTATCAGCACGTAGAAACTAATGGATAAATCAGTCAGCATATGTTGATCATCTGGTGCGAACAAAAAAATCAAAACTACACAGTTACTTTTCTTAATCATAAATTTCCGTTTTAAATTCGTCACTAATTCTGAGTGTGGGCAGTAGGCGTTGCTGAAAAGAATGGATATAAGTAGTATATTGGTATGGTGGCAGAAATCATAGGGAATTACCAGCAATGGGTTAAGATTCTGCCAAGAAAAATGCCAGAATAAAAGCAGGTTTATGAAGACCAAATCAAGACAGAAGTGGAAGAGGAAATGAAGCATATTTTGCAAATGACAGTTTTAGTCCAAGGTGTACCACTTGTTAACAAAAAACATTCCTTTCTTCATCTCAGTCTTCTCGTTACAACTGACTTCTATATAAGATTAGTCCTGAAAGCGCTGCCAAGATTGGTAATAAAGCGTTCACGACAAAATATCAAAGGTCAGAGAACACCAAATCACCATTAAATATGTACACATTACCAACGTTAACAACCGTTATAAGTTCTAAAACAGTTATCTAGCAAATACTTACGGTTTTTTCGTGTTGTCCAAATAGAAGCTAAGCTGCATAACTTGATGAGCGCCTAATGTAATTCCAGTTATCTATATGTGTAAATAAGAACCGTGCACATGTACGTAGTGAAGTATATTTATGGTGTTTAAGTTAAAAAGTCTTTTTCAGTACAATGACTGGGACTTCCGTTCACATTCGGTTTAGAACCATTGATAATCAAATTTAATGAAAATTAAACGTAAGAGTAGTTTAATCATGGTTACTACACCTAAAAGAATAAAATACATTTTCTTAACATATACAAACCTTTACTCGTCACGGGAAATAACTCAGTAACATGCTAATATTTAACACAATTGTTCAATTCAGATTTATGGAATGATTATTGAATGTTTAACCCTAGTGTATTGTCCAAATCAACAGTTTGATTTCAAAAGTTAGCTAGTGGAAAAAGTCACTACAACGAACCATCTGTGAAAGACCGTCTGCCAACAGTTCATGTTGCGAAAGCAATATATATATATATATATATATATATATATATATATACATTTCTTCAATTTAGATATCAACGCTTCAAAACAGGTAATTGCTTAGACTGCGTATGAAATCGGTGATAATTGCTAAGTGATATAAAATTCGAAAGAAGGCATTTGATCATAGGAAAAAACAAGACATGGTTGCAGCGAAAAGAAAATAAACAAGGGATTATGGAAATGCTTGTATAGTTACCTAATACAGGATGAATCTATGACAGTCAAGGCTTCTTGATGGCCATTGGAAAGGTACGTCGAACCTTTACCATACATTCATTCTGCTTGCATAATTACGTTTAATTTCATAATCCCTAGTCTGTTTCCCCACTCTAATCCCGAATGTGTAATAATTAGCTTCCTCTGGTTATTCAATACATTTTATCCCCTAACCGGAAATAATTCTGGAACGAAACTGATTGAGCGAAGAAACATATTCCTTTCCAATTAGGTCTTCATCTTAGGCTTTTAGAATTTGATCAAATTACCATTCACGTGGTTTTAGAAATAATGATGCAAATAATCAATAGAGTTACCAAAATCGGAAATATGAAGCAAGCTATTCTTGGGTAAGTTCAATGATTTTTGATGAGTCTTCAGTCACTCACAATAAGCGATTCTGCCATAGTAGGAAAAAAGTGAATATTGATAGAAGCAAGAGGCGGAAGAGGTGTACAAAGTACTCCTAAAAGTTATATCATATTGATGACCACGGTAATGAAAGTAGTCAAACAAACTTCTTTTGAACACAAAGGTTAGGTTTGTAAAGGTGGATTGCAACCGCCTCTGCTATGTGAAGTAACCGAGTGCGTAATCCATATGATAAATTAATTGGAATCTGATGGGTGATTTTGAAAGATTTCTAGTGTCCACTTGATGTCCCGTGTCAACTAGGTATGCAAGTATGGAGCTCTTTATTCTTCTAACTTGTTTCTTGCTCAGCCATGATGAGTGGTGCTCAGAAATTCGACGTTCTGCCCAACTTAACATGTATTCGCGAATGTACAGTTTAGTAAATAACTTCATCGAAAAGAAAATTTTTTCTTCGCTGCAAACACATCTTGTCTTTTCTTAAGATCAAATGGATGTATTCTGTGGTCTTAAGAAGGCGTTTCTTTAGGATCAGCAGCCATCTAGAGGAACAAAATAAGTCCTTAAAATTTGCTGTAACTTATGAATATAAAGGTGATTTTAGTATAATTGTTTTGATATCAAACCGTCGTTGATTGGACCGGATTGATCGGTCTATATTGTCATATGGGCTCCTGTCATATTAACGATGGATTGTGATTACCAGTGGAAGCCATGATGCGCATCTCATCCTATTTAGGACTCGTCAGCTGGATGTACCTGCTACCCAGTGAGTAATGTGGTTCCCACCAGGATTCGAACTCGGGAGCGATCACTTCAATTGCCAGAGCGTTATCCACTACACCATCGAGCCACGATAGCTGCTTCCTTTGTGACGGGTATAGTTTTAGTATAGTTGTTTTGATATCATACCGTCGTTGATTAGACCGAATTGGTTGGTCTGTATTGGCATATGGGCTCCTGTGCGGATGCCTCGATACTACCTGTGTCCTAATTATATTATTGATGGGTAGTGGTTAGCAGTGGAATCCAGCTGTCATCAGCTGGATGTACCTGCTTTCCAGTGAGTGATGTTGTTCCCACCGGGATCAATTCGGTCTAATCAACGACGGTATGATATCAGAACCGTTATACTGAAACTATACCCGTCACAAAGGAAGCGGCTATCATGGCTCGGTGGTGTAATGGGTGACGCTCTGGCAACTGAAGTGGTGGCTCCCGAGTACAAATCCCGTGGGAACAACATTACTCGAGGCTGCGTAGGATCTCAAAGTCTTTTATTTAGACGCCGAACTATGTTAAAAGATATCTTTGGGTTAATTAGACAAGGGCTTACAATCAGATTGTTTGGGAGAAATAGTCAGCAGAGATCAAGTGGTAGGATTATCGTTTCACTCACACAAAGTAGAAGAATTATTGTCAACTAATCAAACAGATTTTATCAACTTAGCTGATTCAAGTTTGCAGATACATCCGGATGGCGAGTCCCAAATAGGACGAAATGCGCATTCTGGATTCCACCACTAGCCACGGTACATCATTGAAGATGATTTTATCAAAATTAGTAATTGTCCTTCTACTTAGCATGTAAACTAAGCCTTAAGTCTACAACAAAATGCAAATTCTGTTTATAATCCGTACAACTTTTATGTTGGATAGGATTCAAGTTAGAAATAGTTTCTGACAGCAATTAGTAAAAGTCAGCTGACTAGGCTGAAATTCATTGTTTTTAGTCATTGCAAGAAACAGAGATAACTACACATTAACTAAGTCAGATATTTCGAAGACTTCCAGGGAGACGTTTGCTTACGAAGTGATCATTGATTGGTAACCCATCTAGGTGTCTAGTCCATAGTGCTGAGCTCTGATCTGATCCCTTCGATCATTTTTTACAGTTAGTTAATTAATTGTGGATATGCTACACCGTACCCCAATCTATTTTTGTGTTAGTTGATGAGGTTCAACCTGCAAAAACTATCAGCTTCCTTATGATTGCTGATAAGTTTTTCTAATGAGAGTCAAGAATTAAGAAACCTATGCTCAGGGTTTCTTTTCGATTGATTCCAAACATCTAACATCAGACTTATGTTTACTGCATGCATCCTGTTAAATTATCTCGAACTTTATCGCAAGCTTTTGAGGAAAAGTTTATTTTCAATGCATGCAACGCCTGTTTACAACATATATATGAATTTAAGAACTGACGCTTCAAAATCAAAGATATCTAAGATTTCAAGTTTACAGAAAGCTGACAATTCCCCAAGTCATGTTCCTCATGAACCAAGGCATTGAGTCAAATGAAAACTAGGTTCACCACAAGTTAAACGGAAGTACTACTTACAGGATCTACCAGAATATTCGTTCGGTCTTCCATTTCATTTGGTTGTTTCATGCCTTTAACCTGATTTCTAATGTCAGGATGAACATCAATAAGGTGCCCCTGTGAGCCGTAAATTGGTACATGTTGTGATGCAGCTAAACAGGGAGACAAAGCTATTAAACCTTTTGGAGCACACTTTGGTTCATAGTCCTGGCCCTTACAAAAGGCTTCAGGTGGTGGGTAAATCCTGGGATCCAATTGGTCTTCTGAAGCAGGTTCAAACAATAAACCTGTAGGATGTATTTAAAAAATATATAAAAACGTGTATGAACGAAACAAACTATAATTAAATAAGATTTTTAAAAACTAAATATCTTCCTAAAAATAATACAGTAAACAAATTGTTGTGGTAATTTAAATGCTAAACATTTGCAAATAAATATCGATTTTTATGAGCATTACAACTAATTTTGCTCAAAACGAAACTAATTTGTATAACCCCATTCTATGTTTAAGTGTATGACAAAATGCTCTGACGACTCCATTTGTGATTAGTTTGTTCAAAATATACTGCAAACTGTGTCAAATTTCTTGAATGAACACCGTCTCTTCAATAGGTTATGCAAAATCACCAAAAAGACTAGTTATTTTAAAAAATATCCATTGTATAGCGCGAATAGAGGCATTAAATTCACTCACCTTTAAATCTGGATAGTTAGGATGAGGAACTTCTTTCGTCGCCTCCATGACTACTGAACGACATACACCAGGTGCGAAAATGTATCTGCGTGAACCGACACTGAGTTCTTGGCCCATAAAAGCCCCTTCTAAAGTTGAATCACACAAAGATGTCATAGAAGAGTTAGATAACTTAACCAAGTATTAGTTTGAATTGTTGACTAATTCCATCTTATTTACTGGAGCCATCTAAGTCTTAGTGTTTGAATTATATGAAATTTAGGTATGGTTAACTTGATTAAAAACATTAACTGCAATTAGTTTATCAGAGGTTTCATTGCCCTCAAACCAATTCATTGAGTGACTTTTCAGTGGGGTTCGGTACGATAGATGAAGTCATTGGGATAAAGCAAACTAACCATAGCTCATTAATATGTGCCTTGGTGGTAAGTGATGAAGTCGAGTTTCTCTACCAGTCTCTGAATGACTACATCAAATCCATTAATTACTTCGGCCAGAGAGATTCAGTGGCATTAGAAACAGCCTTAAAGCTGTAATGTGTTGATTATAAAATTTTGAAACATTTTTCAAAGACATATACAGACAAACCGAGTCTGACTTCCTGGAATATTTTTGATTCAAAGAGAAACTTTCATTGCCTCTCACATAAGGTTAAAAATAACCTTGAAAACAGTTATGCTAACCCATCTAATGAAACGTCTACTCTCCCATTTAGCAGTTAAGAAATATGTTGGTTTTCAGCCTGTTGCATCAAGCTATTTGATCAACACTAAAATAATAGATAGGTTAGAGATGATGTTGCGTACCCATGTTTACTGCTTTCGTTTTTGTAAAAAGCATTTCAAGCCAGTGCAAGTTCACGTTTTTTTCGAAGTGCACTGAGTACTGGCATAAAAGTCAAAGGAAAAACGTTAGGATTGAGGTCAACCTTCGATTCTACTGACTGTACCATCGTTTTCAGCGACACGTAACACTAGGTTCAGACAATCCACTCATTTAGTTCATAAAGAGGGTCTTACTCGTGATGAAGTCATTCGGATTTTACTTCTGGCTAGTATTTTCTTGGTATCCTCGTGAACCCATAACGAGCGAGTGAGCTTTGGCGGCAAATAACTCTCCACAACAGATAACCTAGGGTTCGACTTTATTTAACACTGATTTTGACCTTCATAATCTTTGCAGATTGCCAAGCTTAAGGTAAGCGGTCAAGTATCCGCCTCCATTCTACATGTTTTGTGTTAAGTTATGTTGCCCGTTCAAGAACCTCTAGCCAGCTAGCTGATGCATCGTCGTACATTAGCCTGATTCTTTATATATGCAACCCATACCTGGCAACGCCTTTGTATTCCTTCATGTTCACACATTCATCAGTACTTGGTAATTAAGATTAAATGGTGGTTAGCCTCTATACCTGTTTAGATTCCACCTGGAAACCAGTAAAGTGCTACTAGATCTTCTTCTTAATGGGGGGAAGAAATAAATAAAAGCTTGAAATATGACCTAATGTCAAGATGTCCAGAAACTGGATAATTTACCTACCACCTCGTTGAAAATGTATACCATTCATCACTAGAATAACTGAAGAAAGTGTGAGCTTCATTCAGGTTCATACTTTAAGTCAAAATTACGGTTACTGATGACATGGTGGGTCAGAACAATATTTCAGTCTGCATCCTTCGTCTATCCGGACTGGTGCTGTACCGAAAAGACCTAGCTGCTAATTTGATCTTGATTTGGCCTTAATTATGTAGTGGTAAAATCAAACTTAGGCTAATGAATTGGTTTTGCTATATTATGAAATAGTAACAGTCTTCAAAATCAACTTAATTTTCTTACCACTTCCGTTAATAAAATTTGCATATTCACTTTCCCACACATGCAAAATTCTATTTAGAAAAGTAGAAGCAAACAATGCTATCAGTTGACTTGCAAAAGCAAATATAAAAATCTGAAACATATTAATCAGTATATACGCCCTTATGGAAAAGCCTAGTGAATGTACCTTACGACTTTCCATCAGTGAAGTGTTGTGCATTGTGCGTAGCCTTGAAATTTCATACCGCTTAAGATTCTAGTATTTTTTTGTGAAGAAAAATCATGAGTATGGCAGGAAATTTGATGTGAGATAGTGTAACATATTCTTGTGAAACTTGGGTGCAGGCAGTGACGAATGCTTTAGATCCACCTTTTACTTAGTAAACGTAATCTACTCTTTTGGCATATCACCTTGATAAGATATTATTTATTGAAGTTGATACTTAAATGTGTTCTGCATCAGAAAACTTAAAGTTCCACTGAAGTGAAGTACTGAAAACTATTGGACATGAAAAATTTCACACTAAAGCGTTTCTATTCGTCACACGATACAGTAAAACACATTGAGCTAAAAGTTTATCCAGCATTCTGTCGAAATCTCCATGTCGAATCATCATTTTCATTTAGCTGCACTTGGTCTTTACATGAAAATGGTTGGTTGCCGTTCATTATCAAAAAAGTATTGTTTCAGAGAAATTACTCAGTCACTTAGCAAGTTGAACATTCCTGAATAATTTTTGTGAAAATGTAGAATGGCTTAGTATAATGGGAGCAAGTTAAATGGTCAATGAGTTCATTGAGCATTTATCAAAGCTATTACGTTGGCATGTAGAATCTTTCCCAACATCAGATAATTTCTGTATCCAGTCAACAAAATCATAGATATAAAAATACTTCATGACTGTGTTATCTTGAAGTATTTTCTAATGTTTTGTTCAACCTTTCGAGTGGAAGTTGTTGTGATATACTGTAAGTCTTTAAAATAAATGACTTAATTGCTTAGGGTAAATTGTGTTAAAATTTGAAAAGTTTATTACTCTTTATCATTAAATTCCACAACATGTCCTAGCTCATTAATATCCTCAACGCCGGTTTTTATAACAACTTTCTCCTCTGATGTTCCATTTTCCTAAATATCCAAAACAAAAGAAAACACATATTAGTTGACATGGAAGACACAAAAGAAGTTTCTACGAATTGAAAATTACTACAGAAAATAGTTTTGCAGAACCCACAAATAATTTTGTATGGTACTGGATTTCAACAAAGTTGCTATCATTGCTTTCTGAAAATCAGGTACAAAAGAAGGAAGCCATAACAGGCAATAAGTTGGTTTTTATGCTTCTTGGATGGAAATTCACATTTTCAAGCCAAAACAAGTTTTTTTTTTACTTCACTGAGCTCTTCATGTTCAATTTAAAACTGGAATTGAGTACTGAAGAGTAACAACCGAAACTCAGGTTGCGTAGGCTTTTAAGCGTATTCAAAAGGTGAAAGTGATGCTTGAACAACTAAATGTCTCATCATATTAGTGGTTGGAAGAGCTACCACGTTGAAATTTGGGCTGAAGATAAGGTCTTCCGTACAAGTATACCAAGTTTGTCGGCGGCTCATTCTGACAAATACTTCGAAGATATTATAACAATCTATTAAAATACAGTTTGTTTAACATCATTTACTTACTTACTAGATACGGAAATTCATAAGTTTGCAATGCTCAAGAGACGACGAGAATCTACTTATCTTTTTTGAGGAGATCTTAGTTATAATGGTTACAAGAACCTTTAGTAAGGCCTAATAAAAAAAATTTTGTATTCTGAAATCTTAAGTTCAAACTATTATCGGGCTCATTGGCTGAAAAGTAAAGAATTCAAGATTATAAAGTAAATGAAGGTGTTTTCTGATCCTTCAGGTGCAGAAGAACGACTATGAAACTGCTGCATAGTATCTCACTGGCTTCGATATGCTGTTTTAACCTTTCAAATCCATGTAATGTAAAGATGTTCTGCATAGATATATAACATCAACAGTTTCTCGTCCTCATCCTTATTATTTGACGAAAATGATTGTGTTCTGTTTATCAGACGTCAAGATAAGTATCTGTATAAAACTGAAATTATTTATTTCCATTCCTGAGAACAACCTGTGCTATAGTACTAAGTGATGAGTAAAATGGAAATCCAGGATAAGCATTTCACCCCTTTTGAATACACACTTGGCGTTTCTAACATCCCGATTGGTTCAGACTGTGATTGAAAGTAGTGTTAGGACAGATAAACAGTCAGTCTGAATACCTAAATGATTGGTTAATTGAGAACTCATTATCGAATGTATAAGAATTTGAGTTAAAATAAAACTGAGAAACCATTGTACAAGGGGTGGTTATCACAACCCATTAGGTTAGGTTTAGAGGCCCCCTTTATCTCAGGGAATTTGATATTTTAATTTTGATTGAGCGTCCAGACAAATTATGAACAGATCCAATGAAAAAAATTCCCTTTATATTAGAGTTCAAATGGTGTGTTTGATTTTTTCAGAATTTACTTTAATCACAAGAATTAGTTTGTAGAACAAAAGGTAAACTTACGGAGCTAAATACGGAAATCTTATCGGAGGGACAAAAACCAAATCTATAACAAGATTTTATATTATCGTGACTATATCCCCAAATTATTTCATGGGTGTTCGCGTCACAAACGGTTCGGCAGCTACCAAGTAGCTTTTCATCAAAAAGTTTCTTCCTTTAACGCGAGCGCCTAAAAGTAATACAATTATTTGTAAACAGATTTCCATCATAGTGGAAGAATTCCCTGAAGAAATCAGGTTAGAAAATATGCAATTGAGCAGGTCATACAAATGATAGATATATCTTTGTGGCAGGAGTCGAATACATGCCCATTTTATTGTGCAAACAAATGAACTGTATTCCGTGAAACTTTTAACAAAGTCAAAAAATTTTAGTGAGATTTAACGTATATGAAATTACTCAAATAGACAGAACAATGTTTCCTACCAAATCATAATCAGGTGTCTTCTGAGTATATTTACTTAAAATGTTATTGTTACCTCTTTACTAATCCATATCGGAATGATATGAAATATACTGCCAACCTAGGAATGTAAGGAGAGGTTTGGTATTTGAACATCCTATCAAAATAACCACCAATACCGTAACCCACAGATGTAGTCAGGTAGAAATGTTTTAGCAGAAATGAAACAATAATGCCAATCAACAAGCTTAAAGTCACCATTATTGTGACTGTCTTCAACTCAGTGATCTCTACTACTTTAAATGAACTTAAAGTACACAGCGGGAGAGGTGCACGTGATAAATTGCGATGCTTTATATTAGTCAAATTTTACGGTATCTTTCTTCACAGATAAGATATTTAGGTTATACCATCTTCTTATTTATCCTTCATATTTTTACAACTGTTTCACAAAAAGACATTATGATCATACAGGTATACCACCCACCTATAATTAGGAAATATTGAGACCGAATGGTACTAACCCATTTCTTTTTGTGGAGCTAGCAATATTACCTCAATCAGTAATTACTTCCTATTTAATTGAACTTTGTTATTATGTAGGTGTAATTTAATTCACCTGCGAACTTCAAAATGCAGCAGTCAGCAAAATAGAACAATCTAGTCTGTTCACATGCTCCATTGTTTGTTTCGCATCGTGGTTCTTTT